CGGGCATCCCCGAGCAGAGGTGGTCTCGGGCAACATGCAGCCGAGGAGCACGACTCAGGCGGGTAGGCCGCGCAGAGGTGGTCTCGGGGAGTCTGTTCGGTGAGGAAGGCCGTGTGCTCTTGGTCCTCGGGCGACCTCCTCTTCTATGAAGCCCGCTGCTAAAAGTCGCTCCACCTCCTCACGACCATCCAGGCCTCGGCCGCAATGTACTGGCTAGCCCGTTGGAGCATCTCTGGTACCGTAGTGGGGGGTCGCTCTACGAGGGACCAAGAAAATCTGGAAGGTCGCGGGCCTATCATAAATGCTTGCATTAACAGAGAGGGATGAGCGTCCGACAAACCCCGGATTTGCGTGGCAAAGCGATCCACAAAACATGAGAGGGGCTCGTCCTCCCTTTGGTTGAGTCTAAGGAGCAGTGCAACGGATGGCTTCGGCCGGGCGTAGGCTAGGAAGTTAAGCTCAAAGTCCCTGACGAGCTGATCGAAGGAACTGATCGCCCCGGGCTTCAAACTGCTATACCATGGGCGGGCTGGCCCCCTTAGAGTCGTGGGGAACGCCCTGCACATCAGGGCGTCTGAGGTTCCGTAAAGCGTCATTTGGGCACGGAAGGCGACTACATGGTCCGTTGGGTCGGTGGTGCTGTCGTACGCGTCGAGAGAGGGGAGGCGGAAGTTCGGGGGGACTGCTTGATCTTGTATCTCAGGCGCGAACGAAGACCCTTGGTGCGCGTCCTCCCCGAGCTCTCCTTTTGACCTGCGAACCTCCTTCTGCACTTTGTCGAGCCGCTGACTAACAAAGCATAATTGGGATCACAGGGAGTCCGCTGAAACCGTTGAATGCCTCGGGTTCCGGGCGCCCGCTCGGGTTTGCCATCACCCGATCCCCGAGTGGGGCCGATCGGACCCGAGGCGAAGTGGGGAGCTCCGAAGGTGGCGTGTGAGCCCGAACGGGCGGCTCCTGTTGCTGCAGCGGTTGGATCGCAGGCGGGTGCGTCGGATGAGAAACGAGTGGGATAATGGATTGCACCATACCCGTCATAGCTCGGACTTAATGAGCGAGGTCCTGAAAGGCCTCGGACGACACGGGCGACGGGTCGGTTGGGGCACTGTCGGGTGGCGACAAGCCCGGGTCATTGAATATCCGCCAATAACGCTTTGAGGTCGTGGCAGGGTGTTCATCTCGAGGTTCTCCATGCGGGGAGTGTTCCCTCGGAGCCCCAATCGGGTGTGACCCCTCAACTGCGGGTTCGTCTGAGTCGATCTATCGATCCCTCGACATTCAGGCCCTCCTTCTAGCGCCAAAATGTTAGTGTCAACAACCTTAAGCCGTGGCCTCGGGCCAACACGGTTGGGTTCGGGTCCAAATGATTGGGGATCTTCCTGAGCGACCCTTGAGACTGTTGAGGTGGCCGACTGCGATGGTCCGATCGTGACGAGACAGTCGTTTCCTCTGGAAGGGAACTCCTCGCCTGGGCACGCGGTGAGAGGCGCTCCGCCTTCGTCCCTGCACACAAGTCGGGTCGGGAGGCTCGACCCGACCCCTCCGACGATCAAGTCAGTGGATAGTCTTAGGGGGTTTTTTCTACCTGATCCTCTCTCCTTTTTCTGAGCGCGAGGGTTTTTATAGGCAAGGTTACCGTTGCCTGATGTGCCTGCTTGCAGGGAGCAGGATCGTACTCCTAGTAACGTCTGACACCGGTGTTGGCGTGGCGTGAAGGACCGGGCTCGTGCAGGATGTTAATGTGCCTCGGTCGGCGTTCCAATCTGTTTTGGCCAGGCGCTGTCAGGTCAATCGAGGCGCGAGGCGTCATCCGGGCACAGTTGACGTTAACCCCCGTCCCATCGCCATTATTGCCCTCATCAGAGTTCAAGGCCAAGTTCCGCCGACGGGTGTCGACCTACGTTGCCGACTGGAAGGAGACGACCAACCTGGGGTCGAGGGATCGGGCGCCCGGCCTTAGGTCGGAGCCGATCGAACTCAAGGGTTGGGCCGGGATGTTCTGTGAGGTGAACGACACCCTCGTAAGAGACGCGACTCACAAGTGGTTCAGCGCAGCGGCCCCGGTGGGGCACACCGAATGGTCTGGCAACACTAGAATTTTCTTTTTTTTATAAAAATGATTTTTTAATTCGTTCTGTGTTTTTCTTTTAAATTCATATAGTTTATATGGACATTGGATACTCAAACCTATATGTAAATGTGAACGGTGATATGATTTGACTCGATCGAAAGTTCCAAACACACAACAATTGGCAGCATGCCGGCCTTGCTAAAAGGATTACAAATCTAGCATGTTGATCTTGCTAATTCATATGAAATAGGACAAGAGTTATTTCATTTTCCTCACATCTTCGACACACAAGTCATAGCTCCCAGCTAGGCTCTTGGCTCTTGTTGGCACCAAGAAGCAGCATTAAGGATACATGCCATCTTCCAACAATCCGAGTAGAAGATTCAGCTGCAGCTTCACATTTCATATGACCAACTTCTCTTCATCCAACTCTGGCACGGTCACATCTCCCCTCATCATGCCGCGATAGGCGTCGTCGATACTGGCACCGGCCTGAGAAAACAACTCAACCACAGCAGGTAACTTTCCATAGTACCTCCTCAGCTCATTCATCAGTGGCTTGCCACTGCGTGCGTCGGGCACATGCCATACATACACCGGTGGCACGAGATCATCCAAAGTGGCCTCCTGCCAAGCGTGTTGTCCATCTCGCATTTGGTGCTTGTAAGCTTGGCAGATCCTCGCCCGATGGCCCTTGATACCCACCTGGACCTCAGGGCAAAATCCACATGTTTGAGCAATGTACTCTGTCATTAGCTTCGAAACACCTGACCGCAACTTCTCCCATGCTTCCATTCCCTGTGTAGCTATACCTGCAACAAGGATGCACCATGGTGTGTTACATGTGCAAGCAAATTAACAAAAGATTAAATGGAATGTGAGACTAAAAATTGACCAACAGATCACCCACTATGCACTAAATATCAGAAGCCACAATGAGTTCAACACAAATTCCACAAATACTTTGGCTTTCGGATAGTATGAACAGGCTGTACCAACCAGATTCTAGGCCTAAACATGGTATTACTTGATGGAAACAAATGATTACTTGGTCAAAACCTCTATCTACTAAAGTTGCCACAAATTTTCAATTTAAGAATCATACAGAAAGCAGAAACAAGGTTAAAGCAACATCAACTGCAGACACCACTATATACATTGTTCGATCGGAATCGGATTCGAAGATTAACTGATTTTACTATATTATTACCAGCATCATATTGGTACAGCTACATTCTTGATGATGAAATACTTATTATTTATGAAACAGATAATACTTATCAACTTTGGTTGCAATGAGCACAAAAGATTAAGCATGTTTTAAAGGGGCTCAATATAGGTTCAACCAAAAAAACAAGTCCTTGAGTTTTCTAGAGTTGTATAACTTGAAAAGACTGGGAGATACATTTATCCTTGGTAGAAACCACCTGCACCGAGCCTTTGTGAATTCAACGAAAAGAGAAAAGAAAATGATGATCAATATTTCGTTCTTCATCGATAAAGTAAAATATACTTTTCAAGCAATTCAAGAGTTATAAAACAATATTTCTTCAATTTGCAGACCGGAATAGTCTTCTTCATATAATGTAGTTAACAAGACAGCTACCAATAGTTAGATGAAACACTGTATCAATGTAGAACAAACCTTGTGCACTATCAGCATATGGGAATGGTTGAGAATCACTGCATCTTTGGCTGTTCTTTTTCTCCCAAAAACCATGTGTTTGGATATCTTTTCCATTGGAATAATCTCGAGGAAACTTCCTTTCAAAATCAATCATCTTTCCTGCAACATTATAGACTGGAAAGATCCTTCTCTTTGTAGGGTACTCGGGAACATCCACGCCTGCTTGGATGCAGAGCTCTACGACAGCTGGAATCCTATCGACCAGCAGCCGTTCCTCGTGTGAGACTGCCCTGCCCAATCTATCATAGAGATGAAAGGACTCAACCAGAGGAAGAACATGCTCGATTCCTCCTCTTGCCCAGCTGTGCTCTTTGCTTGCCGGGCTTCCAGCAACATCACATGTGCGTATAAGATGAGGAACTGTTCCTACATGAACTTCTCCACACACTCTGCAACGTTTACCACCGATTTGCAGAAAACCAAATCAACAATTTAAGCCAACACTGACCTCTTAATTCATAGGTGCACAGCAAATCGTAAGTGTAAGAATCAAATGTTACCTGCACACATGAACGGGGACATTGCCCAACACCCTCGAAGCGCAGCCGAAGAGCACCTGCCTTGCGTTATAAACCTCATGTGCTACGGGAACTAATCTCTTGACCAAAAGCCCATTCTCGGGCGGCCGCAGCGTGATCTCTCTCACCACCTGCCTCGATTGCCTCTCGGATCTTGCTCTCCGTTTGAGCTCGTTGACGGCCGTCACGAGCGGCTTCCTTTCTGATCTCTGTCGCCTCCTCGGAAGCTCAACGTGCTCTGTCGACCGAGCGGGATCCGTGTAGAATGCTGGCACTAAACTCGCTGAGACATTTCGTCGAACACCTTCGGAGCAACGCTGCTTTATCAACCCACTGATTCGCCTGGGTAACATGTGCACGGCCCGCTTCAAGACCTTCATCTAATCGCATCTAAATGGGATTCGGAAAGGAAGGAGCTATTGGCTTTGGGAACGGGAAGAGTTGCGAGAAAAGATACGGGAAATAGGAGCTTTAGTTAGGAAAAAAGGAAGTGCTCCGTGTCGCGGGTTAAGAAGAGAAGGGCAAACGACTCAGGCCACATCAGCAGGTCATATTTTGTAGTTTCTTAAGTCGGGACGTGACAAAGCTGCATGTAAAACTCTTTCGAGCTTTGCTTCTGCAGCGACTTAGGTGCTGATATTAAGTTGCGACTAAGCTTAAGCCATATAACCATCACGCTAACCGGCCCGAGTTTGAATCAAATAGAATTGGACCGGGCCTGATTGCCTGATTAGGGTTAAGACAAAAGGCCGAGCGACTATTGGGCGGGGGAGCGGATCAGCAGGACCACTGGATAGCCGAGGGAGGGGAGAGAGAGAGAGAGAGAGAGAGAGAGCAGAAGGCGAGGGGGACGAGGTGAGAATGAGCCGGAGCCAGGGACTCCCGGTGAAGCCTCAGCAAGAGACGGCCAGGCACGTGGTGAGGGTGGAGCTCAAGAGCGGCGTGCTCTATTGGGGAATCATGATCGAGGGCGAGGACAACTGGAACTGCCAGCTCTGGAATATCATTTGCACCGCCAAGGTCCTCTTTTTTTAACTCTGCTACCCCTCTAGATCTTCTCTTTCCCTCTTTGGTTTTGATCTACTGTCGTCGTTCGACTCCAAGATCGCAATGTTCATGTTTTAAGACGCATGTCTGCATGTGATGACAGTAATTGATCTCAAATAGTTCATGTGTTCTATGGCTTCAATACTTTACGAGTTACTGTAAATGTTCTTTTTTGTTGGTTGAGTTGTGATGGGAAGGGAAAGTGTCACGACTGGAGTATGTTTTTGTCCGACGAAGCTAAGGTAAGGTAAATTGATGGTACTCAACTTGTTATCGCATGCTTGTATCCATTGAATGCAGTCTGCGTGGGATCACTTTGTTTGTGGTTGTGTTAGCACAGGTTTATGGTGCTGAAGAATGCGCCAATGTTCAAGCGTCTTGATGCGAGAAGTAGAGTGAGATAGGTGTTGCCTATCATAGTCTTCTTGTTTTCCTCCTTAAATTCTTAAGTTACATGATTATGATTACTTCTTCATTGAGGGCAAAGGATCAACAAGAGCCTAGCTGCTTCTTGGTGCCAACAAGAGAGCCAAGAGCCTAGCTGCTGGGAGCTATGACTTGTGTGTTGAAGATGTGAGTAAAATGAAACAACTCTTGTCCTATTTCATATAATTTAGCAAGATCAACATGCTAGATTTGTAATCCTTTCAGCAAGGCCGGCATGCTGCCCAATTGTTGTGTGTCAACAATCATGAATGGTGCTAACAATCTTAGCTTGTGACAGAGAATGTATTGGACAGCACTGATAAATACTTTGGATGAGACAGTAGATATCCATGTTGATGAAAAGAAAAGAAAAGAGGACTCGAAAGCAATACCTTCCATGGGCATTTGTCTCTGCAGGCTTCTGGTCCAGCACTAATCGCATCTCATGCTCATTTGCACTCACTCCATCACAACAGCCCAAGGAGAGGCTTGGGATGTGCCACTTCACAGTTGCTGAAGATCTCAAACCAAACAAATAAGCAACCAACTCATTGCATACTTGCCATTAAGCTACACAGGAAATATGCTGTAATAAAACCACCATTTCGCAATGATCTCAATGATCGTGTATACCATTTAACAAAAAATAACTCGAAGGAAAAAGAACCATTTAACACTATTGTAATTCGTATTCCGTTAGTCATTTGCATCACAACAATTTTTTTACTTCTAATGCTGAGTCTTGTACAGGCCAACAAATATGGAGGCATCTTGACTACTATCAGTGCGCATAAGATGATGATAGGTCAATGTGCTGCAACCTCAAAGGTCTGGGATTCACTACTGCAAGAGTTGTGCTGCGCCCTCAGATGTTCTCTCCAGGTGGTAATTCTGGAAGCTTAGGAGAAGTTCCAAGCACCCTTTCCATGTCGAAGCGGACTTCAATATTGCGAATGCTATAGCCAACTACCATCATCCAAAATAGCAGATTGGCAAGTTGAGAAGCGCTTGTTTCTGTCATCGACGTCTACGGCAATAATAAGCAGTTACTTGAGTATCACTCTATAAAACATCACTGAAGTTACTGACATAAGATTCATCATCATGATGATAAGACCTTAAAACATGCTTATATCATACAAGAATTATTGGATTTCATTATTAAGTTGATTTCAACATGATGATAAAAGACCGGAATTACAAAAACATATTTGGCAGATACTTCAAAGAAAAAATACCCGATTAATGCACAACTTTAAAAAAAAATAACCAATCCATTTACAACAGTGAAAGAAATCAAGAAGGAATTGATGAAACAGATCAAAATACAATACAATGAACTTTATTTCGACTATAAAAAAGTCCTTTTCTAATCCTAATATTAGAAATGATTTAAACACTTATCACGACTTATAATGCTTGATCCTGACAATTCAAAATTAGTTGTTAGTTCAAGATTCAAATTCCACATTTGCTCTGCAAAGTTCCATATTTCATACAAAACCTCTGGATATATGCCCTTTTTGAGGCATGGTGAAACTTCTAAGACATAGATGCACATTGTTGACGTTTCGTGGACCACATGAAAACTTCCATAGTTTGATGCTTGCCACGATTAGTATGAAGTTTATATCTTTACTTATGAAATTAACCAAGAGAAGATAACCAAAAACTGCATCCAAGATCAAATCTCTTTACAGCCCTTGCACCTGTATGACAAGTCCTACAAAGCTCTATTACCTTGATTTTTTGTTGCATACATCCTAGATGTCCAATTTAATCATGAGAAAAAGCTTTTTTAACTAAAGAAGTTTGAAATTGGCTCTGCTGAGAAGGAGACAGATTGGCCTTCATAAAGAGCTACACATGGATAAGAAAGAGGATACCAGGATAAAGCCCTTCCTAGAATCCCATCCCCACTACATAGTTATCATTACCTTTATATTATGCATTATGCAGGCACCAGGATACCAGCATTAGCAGAACCAAGGATAACAAAAGCATATGTTACTATTTTCTAAAACCCACAGTAGGTCTTCTCTTCCACTTGCTGTTAGTGGAAAAGCAATATGTTAACATGAGACTTGAATTTCAACACCTTCGTATATGAAAAAATGACTATGAATGAAATTAATTCTGCATAACATAATTACTGATGAAACATTATCTTTCAAGATGCATCTGAACCTAATCAATAGAATAACATGGAAAATGGAAAAGTAGTTAGAAATGAAATCAAACCTTCATTTGTTCAGGATCCGAAACTGACAGAAGACGCTTTATAAAGGTGTTCATAGCAAAAACAACGTCTTCTCCAGCACTACTTGTCAGTTCCTGCATAGATTTATCATACAACCTAATTATAATGCAGATATCTATGTCGCAGATACTTAAAAAGAGTACATCAAAGTTCAGTCTTCAGAACACTAAGTGATGATTGCTAAATAATACAATTTGATACATGTAATACGATGATTCAAATTGTCTGAAAAAGACTGCCTGAAATATGACACACAAACTCAATTCCATGCATTTACACATAATCTTGTAGTTGATAATACAGACAATAGCATGTTCCAAGGTAACTATCCAGTTGAAGGACATAGTAATAAATACCTCAATTAAAAGTTGGTATACCTTCATTATGAGACCAATCTTTATCCAATATCACGATGTTCAACCGAACAGATTTTGAATCTTTTAGTATAAAAAATAATCTTACAGATCAAAGAAAACTATCTTTTGCACTCCATGAAGAGGAAATGACTCCTTGAGATCCAGTACTGTATGATAAAGAATAATTTCCTTTGACAATTTTAGAAGCATAAAAAAATTGTGCTACATTTTGGTTCATAATTCCATTAACATGAACGTCAACTTGTGTTTTTGGGTTTGTATAAAAAGTGATAGGCTGTATCAGAACAGTATGTTCAAGTTCAACCAACCTCAGAACTGCAATTCCCCTTTACTAACATAGCCATACTCTATATGCTACAAACCTTCTTAGTCTCAACCACAAATATGATAGGCACAGATTTGTAGTTTGACAAACATGATGAACCTTGTAACCCGAGCCATATTCGAATGTTTTGAAAGATTCTTTCTACTAGCATTCGTTGAACCAGGACAAGGGCATTCTTACTGGCTGAATAAAGCTGGTCAAATGTTTAAAAAACATCTATTTGTGCCTCTGCCACACACTAAGAGGGAAAATACTGGGTACAGAAACAGCATGACATCTTATAGCTTGAAGGTCACTACCATGCCGAAGCTCAGATAGCTCATCCTGCAGGCCACAAATATTATATACCTTTAAGATAGAAAAGATAGGTAGTAATTCCAGAAACAGAAAACTACTGCTACAAGTAGCTTCACCAATAATTCTATATCACTGGAAACAAATGCTTTAGATAGAAAGGTACTTGAAAAGAAAATTACTTGCATGAAAAGTTTCACAAGACTAATAATTTAAGCAAGCAAAAAATAGTCATCACCTTTAAATTTTGAGGTTCGAGTGATTTTAGATATTCCAAAAGTTCATTCTGTCCATTTGCAGATTTCCTTGCAACTTGACGATTTAGTTCTTCAATTTCTCTTTCAAGATATTCAATGTACTTCATGGCATCCATTTTTTCAGGGCCAGTAATCTTGTTCCACCTAATAATTTCTCCAGTCACCTTTTTCTGTGAACCAGGTGCATATTTTGGAACTGCCTACACCATTTAAGAGGGCAAATTAAGCAAAATTTATAGTCAAAATGACTCCATATAAAAGGTGCAATAGATCTTGGGATGCAGCCATGAGGAGGGTAATCATTATATAATTTTACAAAAACATAAATAATTCTTTGCTTGCTACAAAACAAGGATATCCGTTTTCTAATCACACTTTCTTTAAACAGCACTGGGAAATGCTCATGGAGCTAAATCTGACTCTGGCGTTGTTTAGTAGCAGCATAGACTAGTCCCGGATAACATATAAATCGCAATATCGGTTGACTTCGAAGGATGATGATCAAATATGCAATTAAAAGATTTATATCTGTTCGACGACTACCACATGATCAAGAAAAAACATGAAAACAAATTGCTAGCTTGAGATCCTTGCACCATTATGTACACTTAGTTCAACAAAGAGAAGCCTTCATGTAAACTAGCTTCACAACATAATTTGCAATTTAAGTTAAAAACCATAAAGCTTCAGAAATTACATCAGTTCTGATCCAATTGTGAGAAAGTTTTCCAAACAAACTAGTTTTCGCTGAAAAATTAAATTAAGACAATATATTTACTCTATTTGTTCCAGCCTTCCAGGAGAGTTGAGAAATATAGATTTAAACTCAATAAAAAATATTTTGCAATTGAAGTTGGTACAAAAGAAAGTAGATCTTTTGTGATCATCTTCAACAGTGAATAAATTTTCTCCTACATAAAAGAGAGTCCAATCTTGGTTGGTCCGAGCTAAAGGATAATTTTAACTTCTGACTAAATCCACCCTGTTCCTAGCATAGTTAGGATGGGAGCCTCAGCAAGGGCCCTGGGATTGTGTTACTTGGAGCTCATTAGTCATCTCCGCCAATCGAAACTCAGAAGAAACACAGTCTATGAGGCTACCAAGATGCCACTCACAAAATATGTGATAGCGAAAATGATCCTTTAAAAAACAAAGTAAAAATAATAGTTATTTAACATGATAACAAAGGCACCATTCTTGGCGAAATGCACTTGATGCTTCAAAATTGACTATATCAACTCTTCAAAACTATTTTGTGTTTTTCATGTGTTTTAGCAACTTAATGGAGCTTCAAAACATTTTAAAATGTCTGTGCTCTGTTTTTGCAAACTATAAACGATACATCTGAAATTTCCAACCTATACTAGAGGATCTAAATGTATTCAGTTTATGTTGTCTACTCTCAACTCAATTTGTTAGGTGTCATTTAAGTCTTTGTTTCATATGTTAACACAGCTAGATAAAAAGGCAGCTATTTAGCATAATCATGTTAAATAAAGGTTTCCAAGGCTACTATTATTCAAGGTTTGTTGTACCATAGCATACCGCTCGATGTGAGTAGTATGTATTGGTCCAACCGGTATGGGCGGTACATACCAGTTTGTCAGTATGCCTCCACAGTATCATGTGTCAGTACATTGGTACGATTCGGTACATATCATATCGATGGTCGATCGATATACCGGTACAAACCGGTAAGACTACCATGCTATTATCATTGAAAAAAATTCCTATATTACATAACAAAGCCAACCAGTTAATTGATGTCAAAATTAAGCTACTGAAAAAGTTATACACAACTCAAAATGGTATGTTTTACCAAAATGAAAAGAAATGGTGTAACCATTTCTTTAAAATAAGAACATATAAGAATCAAATCTTCAAGCAGATATTATGACAAAGCCACCACAGGTATCAATACCCTACGCTTTATCCAGATAAAAAATGCTTAAATTTCCAAGCAGATATCAAGAAGACCGGGCACCAGAGGTGTCAAAACCTTACACACTTCATCTAGATCTTAATGTTTAAGAAGACATACATTCTTCTCTTCTGGATCAGGGAGAGCTATCTGATCTAGACTTAGCTGCAATTCCAAACGGTATTGTGCATTCCTAAACATGTAACCAGTCATCATAACACTATACATAAGTTGTGCCAGGTTTTCTGCAACCTGAATCCAAAGAAAAATACACATGAAAATCAGAATCAAAACATCAAACTCATGGTTGCAAGGGAAATCTTTCAAAATTATGGCTATACCATATATGTGATGATCTCACTACCATGTTACCAATGAAACAGATAGAAGAATTTAGAGTCAAAGTATCATACCGTAGTAACAGTAATTGCAAAGAATTGAGGTGGAAGTGTTCCGATCATATTTGTGACAGTCTGGCGCATGGCATCGACAACCTCCAAGAGCAAAAAAGAAAACAAGACATTAATTTAAGGAAATATGATTCTGAATAAGCACAGGTTCTTTTTCCAATTCCAGTGGTCACAAAGAGCGAAACAAGATCCACAATAACCAATAATATATTTGAATCTTTCAGAGCAGGTTACAAATGAAGGATGACTTCCTAAATTACGACAAAGGAAAATAATAACTATAATATATCAGATCATAACTTACCTGTTGTGGTGCTCTTTTTGTAAATAAGTCCATGAACTCTGGCTGAACATTTTTCACATATTCCAAAAGAACATCCCTCCTGTTCTTGGGCTGATAATATTCAAGATCAGAACAATGCAGGTGTGATTAAGCATACATGTAATACATCCACATGATTGCTCTTGACTAACAGAATGGTCTCCTAATAAAAAGACATAAATAGTGGCAGGAAACCAATGCAACTGCCATGAAAAATATAGAAAAGCATGCCAGTGACTCACTAATACCTTTCTGTTTCTTCTCCTCCTTCCTCTTCCTTCTTCACCACCCCACCCACCCCACCTTTCAAATATTGCATATTGATCCTAATTTAGTCCTCTTGGATCATTTATGCAAAGTGAGTACTATCTTATTATTTTTTTACAGTATAGTTTCATGACATCTGCAACTAATAACTTGATCAGATGGAATGTCGTAGGCAGTCCAGTCACTTCTAACTTTCTACAAGGATGCACTATTCTTGAATCCTACACAAAATAAGGAAATACACAATCACTCTTCTAAACCCAGAAATCACCGAAGAATGCAACCTTTCGGTATGCTATGTTAAAGTCATGGTGATCACAAGGTAGCCTACAAAAAAATGACAAGAATTCTGGTAATCAACATCAGTTGCCACAAACAGGTCACAGATGAAACCCCTGAAATCAATGAAATGACTCCAATTGAACAAAATATCGAGACTAGCACGCAAATACAATATTGAATATCCTACAATAAGCTGGGTATGAAGAAACCTTTACTCCCATTTGTAAGAAAATTGCTGAACATGATTTACTACTAATAAATTGTAACACCCCTGATTAGTCCCACATCGAAAGTGGGCAAGATTAAGATTGGCTTATAAGGGTTTGATGAGTGTACTACAAAAAAACTTCAGCTTAAGCATTTTGGTCAGTGGTTTAGACCAAACGAAGTTAATAGGCTAGTTAGCCCATCAGGCTCGGGTCATAATATTTGGTATCAGAGCCGACCTAGCATTTGGGCATGGTGAGGGGGCTCGAGTAGGAAAGGGCTACCCGTAGACGGAGTCAGAGGACTCGTCACGGCGTGGAGCCACCACTGGGCTACGCCTCACATGCACTATGCTAGGGTCTGATCTGGGTTATGTTGGGGCTTGACGAGGACGTCAAGCCTTTGAGTGGGGGTGATTGTAACACCCCTGATTAGTCCCACATCGAAAGTGGGCAAGATTAAGATTGGCTTATAAGGGTCTGATGAGTGTACTACAAAAAAACTTCAGCTTAAGCATTTTGGTCAGTGGTTTAGACCAAACGAAGTTGATAGGCTAGTTAGCCCATCAGGCTCGAGTCATAATATAAATGGACCGGGACAAAAGTACATGACCGAATCACCTGGAATAAGCTCAGCATTAAGGAACAATTCTTCCCACTTGAGTGAAAAATGGTAAGCAATACTGAAAATAAATGATTTGGAGAACATCCCTTTTCTTCTTCCAACATAAACATGGAAAACAAGGCAATGATTTAAATTTTACTAGAAAACATGAAAATAAATTTCAAGATTTTCTCAATTTCCTAGCAAACAAACATCGAGGTAAATATTTACAAAGGAAAACAGTTTTCCCTAATGTTTTCTATGCAATCACACAATCCTAGATGCATATTTGTCTTTTTCTAGTAAACATGCCCAAACAGCTTCAAATGTCGTCCAAAGCAAACAACGAACAGAAGCATGATAGTTTCCTCCTTTTCGATCTCAAACGCTAACAACTGTGGATGAAATGACAACACCGGTCCCCAGTGGGAGAGACGGAAAATTGCATGCAAGACGACCTTAAAGGAGAGGGTAAGATCAAGAAATACTATAAGAATCACCTCGAGAAGTCATCATTTCCAAGTTAAAAGCGAGAGCGTACCAGGTTGCCATTTTGGGGCTTGGGGTCGCCGCCGGAAGCGACGGTGTCGGAATCTTGGGCCCGGACGAGCTTCAAGCGGCATCTGCTCCGCTTAGGAAAAGGAAAGGCGACGGAGCGCGGGAGAAGAGAGGGAGGAGAGTGGGAGGAGAAGCAGAGGGACGAGCGAGAGGAGGAGGAAGGCGACGGCTCAGAAAGAAGCTTGGAGGCAAGGAGGGATGACATGAGAGCTCCCTTGCTCGCTCTTCCCTCTGACGGTGTCTACGAGGTGCTCACTCTTTTGCCTCAGTAAAGAGAAGTTAAGAGGCTCGGATCTCGCCCGTTGGATCAGCGGTTTTTGAGGGCAGTCCGTGTAAATAAGATAGTTCAAAGCCCACTTCGGATGAGATGAGCCGAGTCTTCTTTTACCAACCTTTTGCCTCGTGTTGGCACCGAACAATAACAGCTCACACACACATTATATCAAACACAGTTAAGGACAGGATCTGATCGAGTTCGACGCGGCTTTATTGAGATCAAAGAGTTGCTTCCCTCTGCCACGGACCACTCTCCACGCTCGCCTCCGCTCCGTTACATGCAGGACTCGGAGAAGCGAAAGCAACGAGCAAACTCGAACAACGAGTTGCTCCTCTAATAAGGGAGAGCAAAGGCAGAGAGGATCTCCAATGGCCTCGAGGCTGGGTTCTCTCCCTTCCCAACTCGGATCCCCTCCCCTGCACTACCGCCACCACCCTCGCTCGAACGTCGACGCCATCGGAGCTCCGCCTCCTCTCCGCTTCTCCGTCCCCAGGCAAGAAACCTCCTCCATCTGTTACATATCTGTCAACGTTGGATGATGACAAGGAAGCGCTTCTAATTCGTCTGTGATTCGTTTATAGTAAATGATCTTGATACAAATCTATGTTTCTCATCGAAGATTGTAGATCGAAGTTCTACCAGAAAACAACGTCAATGGGATCTCTCATCATTGAGGTATATTGAGGGGTATTGTTAGAAGGTAATTCAAGAACCATATAAAATTGAAGTAGATAATTCAAGTCCTATAAAATTTAAGTAGGTAATTCTGAATTGCTATCAGAGTTGTTCAAACCACAGTTGTGGTCAAATCTCAAGTCATGAAGAAACGAATGAGAGATTTTGTCAGAGGTAAGTGAGGAATATGTTCTTTAAGATGCTACAGTTTCAATATTATCCGGGATTGACTGATTTCTGTTAAGTAGTTTGGCATTATGGTTCCAGTTGAGTATATTTACTTTGGAGCTTTCAAACAAGATTGGTCTATTTTTTTATAAAGCTATTGGAGGAACTCGTAGAAACATGAAATTGTAAGGTATTTCTTTTGTAAGTTTATGTATTGCTACATTGGCAGTTACTGCACAAATCAGTGACATGAATCATTCTTTCTCTCTGGAGAGAAACCATTCTCTTTAAATTAGTTACTGGGTTGAATTCTAATATGTTCCCGTGAATGAGAACCCCTAATAACACTAATAAATATCAACTGAAAAATATATTAACAAACATTTATAGATTGATTAAGATTTAATTTTTTGATATTTCTATATTAATTTAACTAGACAAAATAAAAAGATTTATTTAAAGGGTTAAGGTCCATTTTAGCCCCTGTGGTTTTAGCCATGGACCACTTAAGCCCCTATGATTTACTCGTATCTAAAATAACCCTACATTTTAAAAAACGTAGCATATAAGTCCTTCCCATCAAGTTTGAGTTAACAGACGTTAGAGTCTACTTACGTGGCATGATGACTCACAATAAACTATTAATATAATGACACATATAATTTTAGTTTAAAAAAGTATTAAGGTTCATTTTAGCTCTTGTAATTTTGGTCATGGACCACTTAAGCCCTTATGGTTTATTTGTGTTTAAATTAACCCATATATTTTCAAAAACGCAACATATAAGCCTCTCCCGTCAAGTCTAAGTGAACAAACATTAGAATCTGCTTACGTAGCATACTAATTCACAATAAACCATTAATATAATGATATATGTAATTTGAGTTTAAAAACTGAGATCACCATCAGTGGCGAGAGGAGGCATCGTCGTGGAAATGACCACTAGCAGCAGCACCAAGTCACTGCTACCTAGTAGGGCGTTGTACGCATGCAACCTCTCCCACGCTGACAACGAGCTTAGGAGCTTATAGTCCTGCCTCAGGTGGATGTGAGTCGACCAGTCCGACACTAGGCACGTAGTGGTCTCCTAGCCCCTCTTCCTCCTCTTGGGCGTCTTCGTCCCCACCGCCTCCCACTTCGTCCTCTCCTACGCCCCCCACCCGTCGTGCCCACAACATATTGGTCTAGCTCTCCGTCACCTCCGCCTCCGGCCTCTCCTACCTCTGCCTCTCCGCCTTTGTCCACCACTATGACCTCCGCCACTTCCTCTTCTTTGATAAGATAGACCTTAACTCTTTTTTAAACTTAAACTACACGTGTCATTTTATTAATGGTTTATTGTGAGTCAGTATGTTACGTAAGCAAACTCTAACGTCTGTTAACTCAAACTTGACGAGAGAGGCTTATATGCTATGTTTTTTAAAATGTAGGGGTTATTTTAAACACGAGTAAATCATAAGTGCTTAAGTGGTCCATGGCCAAAACCATATGAGCTAAAATAGACCTTAACCCTTTTTTAAACTTAAATTATATGTGTCATTATATTAATTATTTATTGTGAGTCAACATGTCATGTAAGCATACTCTAACATCTGTTAACTGAAACTTGATGGGAGGGGCTTATATACTATGTTTATGAAAATATATAGGTTATTTTAGACACGAGTAAACTATAAGGACTTAAGTGGTCCATGACCAAAACCACAGGGGCTAAAATGGACCTCAACCCTTATTTAAATCTTTATTAATTTGAGTCCGACATCCATATTCAATCTATATGATATTCCAAATACTATGTGAAAATTCAGGCTATTAGAAGCCATTTCTTTTTGTATTAGAACACTATGCTCGATGAATATAGTTTGTAGTAGACTCTTCTTATCAACACTGATAAAAATAAAAAAACCAAAATTCTTGTAAACCATGTTGCTGTAAACAATATAGTATGTTCTAAATAGTCCACAAAAATGATACAAAGATACACACATTAGCAATTCCTTTAAAATGTGGATGCTAATGAGGGCATGAGGGCAAGAAGGCTAATGAATCCACTACAAGCTTAAGGCGTTAAGGAGAGAGACTCTATTTTGGACTAGTCATCTTAACAAGAATTCTAGTCCTGCTTCAATATCTTCGATGCTGTTCTGTAATGTTTGGAACCACTCTTGTGCCTTCTTTACCCTCCCATCATTAGCTTCAATATCCTTTTGTTCACCCTCTTAGGCCACTTTCCTCTTTTGAAATGCCTTTGAGATAAGAGACCATATGCTAGTTTTGGGTTTTGGCCTTGGCACGGACAAGAAGTTAAAGATTGATTAAAGAAGAGAGATGGTGAGATCTCTTGCTTCCTTCAAAGTTGTTATCACCATCCATGAATCAGATTCCTTATCATCAATACAACATAAGGCGTATTTATCATCCATCTGCTTCAGGAATCTGAAGCAATTCTTTACATCTTTCTCTGCCTTGTCAGGATGAACGTAAGCTTGCATCTTGCTCTGGGCAACTGTTTCTCCTTGTCTTCTAAAAATCATTTTGAGGCCTTTAATCTGATCCTTTTTTTAGATCATGCTGTCTCTGATGGTGCTAAGCAAGTCCAACAGCCTGATGGACACATCCAACTCCACTTCCACCATTTTCTTTTGTTTTGGATTCAAGAAGATATGGTTGCTGCTAGGCAAGCAAAGAAGCTCCTTGATGCACCTGTACAGACCTTGGAGCCCTCTCAATCCCTTCCATATCATGTAGGTTGTTGAATAAGATTTAACTACAGAAGACTTGACCGGCTGCAGCTCCTCTTCCACTCTGAGCATGAGGGGATGATCTCTCAGAGGCATGCTAGTGGATCGGGACATGGAAAAGCTGAACTGATGCCGCAGGGGAATCAACCATATTTACGATGTTATCTTGGAAAAGCTTTGCCATTTATTATCAGCTGACTGGCACAAATAGGATGGGAAGATGTGACTGACCCTTGAACTCATCCTACTTATAGACTCAATTACTTGGAGCAGATGGGAGGCAAATGGAATCTTACCAGCTCAGCTCAACCTGATATGTGAAGCTTGGTATTTGGATTTGGTATCCTTTTTGCTAGGCAAGTCTGACTTATATCTCTTTTCTTTTTGACTATATTCCAGCTCCACATGCATGTGTTAGATTGTGACAGAACACCTCAATCTTTATTATATACATGTTTTTTTTTAATCTTTAACACGTCCTTTAAACAGATTTGGATTCTGAAGTCTGTGAGCTGGTTTCCTAGCCTTGTTGATCATTGTACTAATCTAACATACATGGGTGTCATATGTCTGCTTTTTAGGTCAAACCTTGAACATAGTCTTTATTATATACATGTTTGTTTTTTGAATTTTTAAATCTTACTTTAAACAGATTGGATTCTGAAGTCTGTGAGCTAGTTTCCTAGCCTTGTTGGATCATTTTACTAATCTAACATACATGGGTGTCATATGTCTGCTTTTTAGGTCACACCTTGAACATAAGGTTTATGAATAAATCCATGATCAATTGTGTATGCTAACTGCAAGTCACACTGGTGAATATATCGATAAGCAACAATCAGACAAGAAATCAGAAGAAGAAAAATTACATATGTGAATATATATATCTGCGTGTTTGGTGTGTATATGGTAGCAAAATCTACATGATGAGGTTCTTCGGAAATACATCTTTTTTAGCAAGACATTTGTCAAAGGATTTGAATTTACTTTTGAAGGCATTTTTACATCAATCATATTAAATGGATTAATAGGAGTATTTGTAATTGAAAATTGATCTTTTTTATCAGTATCGAAAAACTAATATGAAGAAGGATTTTATTTAACCATGTTTATCTGCTTTGAGGACATGAAAATATAATAACTACTGAATTCCAAATTCAATTTATTATATTAATCACATTCATGAAAGCCACATTGTATGGAATTTAAACAATTTTACAAATTATAAGAGGTGTCACATTGAAAATGATTTTGCAATAGGTTCATATACCAAGGAGCACCATGTTCAAAGAGATTGTTACCAGGCTTCTCATCTGTTATCTTTTATCTGACATTATTGATGAAATATTTAAACAATCTACTGTTTTCTAATCAATGCATTAGCTTTTTCATTTTCTAAAATAATTTAAAAAAAGCAACATTGCTAAAAATAGAATGCAAAATCATTGTGGACCACTTTACGGTGAACAGTATAGTGTGACAAAAATGAGACAACATACACGCATTAGCAGTCCCTTTAAAATGCGGATGCTAATGAGGGCATATGGGCAAGAAGGCTGATGAGTTTATTACAAGCTTAGGATGTTAAGGAGAGAGACTCTATTTTGGACTAGGCTTCTAAACAAGCATTCTAGTCCTGCTTCAATTTCATCAATGCTGTTCTGTAATATTTGCAACTGATCTCGTGCCTTCTGTACCCTCCCATCATCATTAGCTTCAATATCCTCATGCTCCCCCTCACAGGCCACTTTCCTTTTGTGCAATGCCTTTGAGATAAGAGACCATCTGCTAGTTTTGGTTTTTGGCCTTGGCATGGACAAAAACTTAAGAATGGACTGAAGAAGAGAGATGGTAATTTCTCTTGCTGCTTTCAAAGTTCTGACCACTGTCCATGAATTAGATTCCTTATCATCAGTACAACATAAGGCATATTTGTCATCCATCTGCTTCAGGAATCTGAAGCAATTCTTGACATCTTTCTCTGCCTTCTTGTTAGGATGAAGATAAGCTTGCATCTTGCTTTGGGCAACTACTTCTCCTCGTCTTCTAACGGTCATTTCGAGGTCTCGAATCTGCTCCTTTATCAAGATCATGTTATCTCTCAATTTGCCAAGCAAGTCCAACAGCCTGACAGACATTTCCAACTCCACTTCCACCCATTTGTTTTGTTGTGGATTCATGAAGATCTGGTTGCTGCTAGGCAAGCAAAGAAGCTCTTCAATGCACCTGTACAGACCTTGGATCCCTCTCAATCCCTCGCATATCATATGGGCCGTTGAAGAGGATTGAACTACAGAAGACTTGACTTTCTGCAACTCTTCTTCCACTTTGAGCATGAAGGGATGGTCTCCAGAAGGCATGCTGGTGGATCGGGCATGGAAAGGCTGGATTGTTTTCGTAGGAGTGTCAACCATGTTTACAATGCAATCTTGGAAAGCCTTCGGCTTCTGACTGTTGCAAACAGGATGGGAAGATGTGACTGACCCTTGAACTCTCCCTACTTATAGACCCAATTGCATATTGCAGATGGAGGCAAATAGAATCTTACCAGCTCAGCTGAACATGATATGTGAAGCTTGGTATTTGGATCCGGTATCCTCTTGTCCAAACAGGTCTGACTTTCTCTTTTTCTTTAACTGTTTTCCCAGCTCCACATGCATGTGTCTGTTTGTGATAGAACACCTCATAATCTTTATTATACACATGCTTGTAGTTTTGATCTATAGCTCATTTCCAAACTATGTTAGTTTTGTAATGATGAACTTTGGGTAAAGGTATTGAACTACCCTGAGATGCACGAGTGTCATGTCTGCTTGTTAGCTCACAACTTGAAGATAAGATCCATTATTAAATATTCTATATTGGTCGCTATACACATTGGCAAATAATGCAATAGCCAGCAACCAGACAGGAACACAATACATGGGTACAAAAAACAATAGATAACAGGAGATATCAAATGGAGTTAGAATTATTATTAGGCTGATTCGATTTAGCAGCGTTATAATTATTACATGAGTGCTATATGCTGGCTTGTCTCTCCAACACAATCTGGCAACAGGTACACTGAAAATGAGTTATAATGACAATGATAGTCAGCTAAGCTAAACCTGTACGTGTGCGTCATTGCCTTTCATGATGGATCTTGTAATGAATGACATATATAAGCAAGTTAGTTTCTGCTTATAGAAATCATACATCTTGGGATCTGAGACAGGCTTTTAGGTATGCTTTTATTTAAAATGTATAAAATGCCATAAGTCCGCCTGTGATCTAACATGAGTTTGAATGATTATCCACCCTTTTGCATGAAATATTGTTGTACTCAATAACCAACAACTAGATGAAACAAGCTTATGATGGTGGCTGTGTAATCACATTGTTTAACAAATGAGAAGTAAGAAAACAAGATGTATTCTTGTATGGGTTACATATGGGAAACAACATTTTTTGGTAATTCCTTTCTAGATTAACTAATTCACGTTATGCAGTTCTGATCACATTCTTCCAAAGGTGACCATATTTATTTTAGTGCAATGAAAGGAGAATAATCTAGTTTTTGATGACAAGATTTAATACAACGAATATCTGTATAAATTATTTACTATGTTAAAATTAGGGTGAGCTTTGGTACAACATTAAGATTACTCCTACGTAGTCTGAGTTATGAGGATTTGAGTCATGAAAATATTCTTATTACTTATAAAATAAAGGCAAAATAGCCTTGCTGTTTGTAGGAAATAGGCTATGTACATTGATTCACTTGGGATCCCCATTAACAAGAGATTCATGTGCAGCTTATAGGAATAAGGTGAAATAATCTTGCTACTTGTAGGAATAAGACTGCGTACATCTATCAGTTCCACACACCATGTAAACAAGAGCCTCATGCATTCAGCCATATTGCAATGTGACAATGATTGTCTGAATAGTATGTTGATCAATGTTTGTAGAATACTTTTTTAACATAAAATTTGTCAATGGTTTTGGATTTAGCTTTGAAGATTTTTCACACTAATTATCTAAACAGATTAATATTTATTCATAATTGGAAATCATTCTTTCTAATTGATACTGAAAAGAATTATGAAAAAAATGGTTTATTTGACCATGTGTTTTTGCTTCGAAGACATTATGAGAATGTAATGAGTACTAAATTTCATTTTCAGTTTACAATATTACCCACCTTTGTGAATGCCAAACTTGTGGAATTTAGATAATTTTACAAATTACGACAGGTGTCACATTGAAAAGGATTTTACAATAGGCTCATATGCGCAGAGAGATTCTTACCAAGCTTCTCATATGTTTGTTTTTTTTTTTCCCCTACTAATGAAACTGTTAAACTATCGACAGTTTTCTTATTTATGCACTAGCTTTACTGGCTTGTAAAATAATTAAACAAAATAAAGGAAACTCTGATAAGAATAGAAAGCAAAATTATTGTGGACCATGCTTTAGAAAACAGTGTAGTGTTATATAACTATTTCACAAAAATGATACAATATGAATGCATTAGCAATTCCTTTAAAATGTGGATGCTAATGAGGGCATATGGCGAGAAGGCTGATGAATTCATTACAAGCTTATGATGTTAAGGAGAGAGACTCTATTTCGGACTAGGCTTCTAAACAAACATTCTAGTCCTGCTTCAATACCATCAAAGCTGTTCTGTACCGTTTGCAACTGATCTCGTGCCTTTGCCTTCTGTACCCTCCCATCATTAGCTTCAATATCCGCATGCTCACCCTCGCAGGCCACTTTCCTCTTGTGCAATGTCTTTGAGATAAGAGACCATCTGCTAGTTTTGGTTTTCGGCCTTGGCATGGACAAGAAGTTAAATATGGACTGAAGAAGAGAGATGGTGATTTCTCTTGCTTCCTTCAGAGTTCTGACCAGCATCCATGAATCAGATTCCTTATCATCCGTAAAACATAAGGCATATTTGTCATCCATCTGCTTCAGGAATCTGAAGCAATTCTTAACATCTTTCTCTGCCTTCTTTTCAGGACGAATATAAGCTTGCATCTTGCTGTGGGCAACTGTTTCTCCTTGTCTTCTGAGGGTCATTTCAAGGTCTCTAATCTGCTCCTTTATAGAGTTTGTGCTATCTCTCAAGGTGCCAAGGAAATCCAACAGCCTGACAGATACATCCAACTCCACTTCCACCCATTTCCTTTGTTGTGGATTCGAGAAGATCTGGTTGCTGCTCGGCAAGCAAAGAAGCTCTTCAATGCACCTGTACAAACCTTGAATTCCTCTCAATCTCTCACATATCACATAGGCAGTTGAAGAGGATTGAACTACAGAAGACTTGACTTTCTGCAGTTCTTCTGCCACTCTGAGCATGTAGGGATGATCTCTAGAAGGCATGCTGGTGGATCGGGCATGGAAAGGCTGGATCGGTGTCGCCGGAGAATCAACCATCTTTACAATGTGATCTTGGATGGCCTTCAGTATGTATTATCAGCAGAGTGGCACAAACCGGATGGGAAGATGTGACTGATTCTTGAACTCTCTCTACTTATAGACCCAATTTCATACAGCAGATGGAGGCAAATAGAATCTCCCCAGCTCAGATCAACATGATATGTGAAGCTTGGCATTTGGATCTGCTATCCTCTTGTCCAGACAGGTCTGACATATTTCTCTTTTTTTTAACTGTTTCCAGCTCAACATGCATGTGTTTGCTTGTGATTAACTGTGCTTGGTGTTTGAATCTGTAGCTCATTCCAAACTACATTAGTTTTGTAATGATAAACTTTGGGTATTGGACTACCCTGAGATGCGTGAGTCATCTGTCTGCTTGTTTGCTTACACCTTGAAGATAAGGTCAGTACTAAATCCATTATTAAATATTCTATACTGGTCACTTGGCACATTGACAAATAATGCAATAACCAGCAACCAGACAGGAAATATAAAAAAGAGTGGAAAAAACAATAGATAGCAGCAAATACCACATGTAGTTTGCAAAGTACGTCATTAGCAATCTTATAATTGTTAGGCTCAAATAATTTAGCAATTTTATAATTATTATGAGTGTTATATGCTGGCCTGTCTCTCCAACATAGTCAGATAACACGTACACTGAAGAGTAATAATGACGATAAGAGTTGGCTAATCAAACCTGTACATGTGTGTCAGTGCTTTTCATGATGGATCTTGTAATGATATATCTAAGCCAGTCGGTTGCTGCTTTTATGAATCATACATCTCGGGATGTCAGACAGGCTTTTGAGTGTGCTTTTATTTAAAATGTATGAAATGTCGTAAGCCTGCCTGTGATCTAACATGAGTTCACCTGATCATGCACCCTTTTGTGGGTAATCTAGAAAAAAAAGGTTTCTGTCAATTTTTTTCTTCCTGTTTTTGAGTCGTGAACCTTCTCTTGCATCAGTCTTGAAAATTGTGTATTCATAATTATTATCAGCCGTTGGTTCTGGTCATTCTCTGCCTTCTTGTCAGAATGAATGTAAGCATGCACCTTCTTGCTTTGAGCAGCTATTTCACCTCATCTTCTAATGGTCATTTTGGGGTCTCTTATCTGCTCCTTTATCATGCTCTCTGTCATGGTGCCAAGCAAGTCCAACAGCCTGACAGACATCCAACTCCACTTCCACTGATTTCTTTTGTTGTGGCTTCAAGAAGATCTGATTGCTGCTATGCTAGCAAAAGAAGTTCCTTGCTGTACAATGAGATCTCCAAAAGGCTTCGGCAAGTTCCATCAGCTGTGGACTAGAGCAAACAGGATGGCTATATTTGAATGACCCTTGATTTCTCCCTGCTTTTAGACCTTGTATCCACTTCTCTAAACAGGTCTGACTTATTTCTCCTTTTTAAAGTTATTCCATCTCCACATGCATGTGGTGGCTTGTGATGGAACACCTCATAATCTTTATTATATACATGTTTTTCATTTGAGTTTTAACACTTTAAACACATTGGAATCTTAAGTCTATGGTTTTGCTTTCTAGCCATGATGTGGATTGTAATAATGTAAGATGCACTGTTGTCATTTGTCTGCTTGTTAGGTCACATTTTAAAGGTCGAGAATAAATCCATGAACAATCCTGTATACTAAGTACAAGACACTGGCAATCATGTATACTAACTACAGTTGCTAATGATGCACGTTGCAGAAAAGCTGATCTGATTATTATAACAGTAGGATATTGTGAATAGAGACTATTTTGGATTAGTGTTCTAAACAAGCATTTCAATCCTGTTTCATTAACCTCAATGCTGTTCTGTAATGTCTGCAACTGATATTGTGCCTTATGTATCCTCCCATCATTACCTTCAATGTTCTTCTGCTTTCGCTCACAAGCTTTTTCTTTTTATCTTTTTGCAATGCCAATAAGAGACCATCAGGTAGCTATGCATTTTGTCCTTGGCATGTGGACTAGAAGATAAAGATGGATAGAAGAAGAATATTGATGTTCACTTTTGCATCACTTGAAGTCCTGATCACCAATGTCCATTGATCATTGCCCATGTCATGTGTCAACATAAGATGTGTCATCCATCTACTTCAATATTTTTTAGCAATGTGAGCATGCATCTTGCTCTAGGCAACTGTTGCCCCTGGTCTTCTAAGGGCTATTTGAAGATCTCTGGTCTTCTCCTTTATTGTCACCATGCAATTTATCATGGAGCCGAGCAAGTCCTACAGCTTGACAGACCCATCCAAGTCCACTTACACCCATTTATTTTGTTCTATGTTGGAGTATTTACTGCTATGCAAGCCAAGAAGCTCCTCGATGCACTTGTACAAACCTTCAGACTTGATCTTCTGCAGCTCTTCCTCTACTTTTAGCATGAGAGGGTGATCTATAGATGGCTTGCTGATGGTACAAACATGGTAACACTGATTGGTGTTGTAGGAGGACCAGCTATACATATCAGTATGTTCTTGGAAGGCCTTTGGAATAAATTATTAATTGAAGACTACGGAAAAGAAGGATGTGAAGATGTGAAAGAGCTTGGAACTTCGCCAACTTAAAGACCCAGTTTCATGAAGCAGATGTGAGGCTAGTGGAATTTAACTAGCCAATATGGTACATGAAGCTTGCAATTTGGATCTTGTAGCCTCTTCTTCGAACAGGTTATGTTCATTTCTCCCTTTTTAAGTACTACTTAGTTCCACATGCACGTGTCAGGCTTGTGATGATACACCTCACCACCTATATTTTAAACATGATTGTAGTCTAGATCTTAGACACCTTCTTCAAACAGGTTAGATTCCATTGTTTGTGAGTTAGTGTTGTAGTTTTGAAATTGATTATTGTACTAATCTAAGTTGCATGAGTTTGATGTCTGCTTTCTAGGCTACACCTTCATGCCAAGCATGGTTTACCTTACCGGTCCGTACCGATGTACCGATCGGTCATCGGTATGGTATTTACCAAACTGTACCAACACACGATATGGTGGAGCGTACCGATAAACCGGTATGTACCGTCTATACCAATCCTTTGTTGGACCAGAACATACTGCCCATACTGGGCGGTACTCTGCAGTATGGTGAATCTTGATGCCAAGGTCAAGATTAAATGGAAAATAATCATGTATACTAATTACAAGACACACTTGCAAAGGGCAATAGTCCACAACCAGAAAGCAAGGGCACTTGATCAAGTATCCTAGTGACTACAAACTAGAAAATAAGGCAATAACCAACAACCAGAAATTAGTAAAAGAATCCATGTATGTGTCTTTTAAGTACATGTGTGGCAATCATAAAATTTAAGCAATGGGATGTTTGGACTGTTTTTTATCAGAGTTTTTGAAGTTATAATTTCAGTCATAGAGAAGTAAATGCGATGCCTTGAGGATTTCCAGTGTAAGCACTGACTTGAATAAGAAATCTGAGTGAATTCTTGAGACAACAAGAAGATTGTATTGGATTTTAATAGTATACAGATTACTGTACAAAACTGTTAACACTGATCAGCAGATCTCCTAAAATCTGGATGCTGATCATAGCATACAAGGTTTCATGAGCTACTTATGAGCTTAGGATGTTAAGAAGATGGACTCTGCTCTGAATTAGCTGCTTGAACAAACTTTCTATTCCACTCTCAAGATCTTTAGTGTTGTCCTCTAGCATTTGCAATTGATCGTGGAATTTTACTACCCTGCCGTCACCAACATCTTTGCAGGATATGTACTCGAGCGAAGCATGCAGTGAGAACAAATCTGATCTTTCAATTCCATTTCCATCCTCATGCTCCCTCTCGCATGCCACTTGCTTCTTGCTTAATGCCTTGGAGACAAACGACCACCTTCCTGTCTTTGGTCGCCCTGCCTGCATTGACAAGAAAGACGGCACTAGATGGATGAGAGACAATGTGATCGCCTTCAGTTCCATCAAGAGCCTGCTCACTATTGGTTTTCCACAGTCCTTGTCCGCACATTTTCCCTCCACCTTCAATGATCTGAAGCAGTTCTTCACATCCTTGTCTGCCTTCTTGGTAAAACGAAGGTAAGCATTCACTGTTCTTTCTGCTGCAGCAACATCTCTTCTTCGGAGCGCCAGCCGAAGGTCTTTGATGTGCTCTTTGATCATAGCCAAGCCATCTTTCAAATCACTGCACAAGTCCAGCAATCTGACGGACCCATCCAATTCATCTTCCAGCCATTTCTTCTGCAAGGAACAGTGGTTGCATGGCAAGCGAAGAACCTCCTTGATAGATTCATACACAGCCGCAAGCTCTCTTAGCCCATCGGAGATCATCTGTGGTGATGAAGGAGAAGATGTTGCTACAAAAGTCCTAAGCTTGCACAGCTCTTCTTCAACTCTAAATATCACAGGGTGAGGTCTGGAAGGCATGCTAATGGAACGGAGATTGCAAGGCTGGGATGTCATATTTGCTTCTGGCCAAAAGTAGGGGGGATCACTCAAGTTGTGTGACTGCTGAAGATGAGCAGAGGATACCCAGGGTGAGCTCTTCTTATAAACCAGCATGGATACCCAGAGGTTGGTCAGACGAAGGGGACAACAAGAATCCCTCTTTCTTGAGTTGTCATGTGATGCCAATGTGGTTCTTGGCTTGCAATGTGATTTTGTACCATCACCCAGCATCTCATTGTTTCATCAGTTGGCAGCAAAGAAGCAAGACAAGATTGGCAATAATTATTATTGGTGGGTACAACCGAAAACCACAGGGAGAATCTGATGCACAGGTGCAGTGTACACATAATGAACTGCTTTTAAGTGAGTACTTGTTTATGATGCACAGGTGCTGTGTGCCTGCTTGTCTGCCCAACGCTCTTGTAAGTCTCTCTAACCAGCCTCTGTCATGGTTTGCAGGATGAGCTGCATGTATGAGTTGGGGAATGCACCTCTTGCAGTGATCTCAAAGCAGGATTGTCTCCTCATCATAAATGGTTCCTTGGTATTATTATATTCGAGCTTCACCGGCTAAATCTGGATCTCGAGGTACATCTGCATGAAACGATGCCATCTTCCCACCTGTTCTCAAGGTAAGCCTCGTTCTCAGGCTAGTCGATATATTTCTTGCTTGCTGTAAAAGTCCTATGCAGTCATTGATAGATATGGGAGACGCAGCCACCGACCATCAATATATCACTTGTCCCACACGCGACTTTAACCTATCCGTCACCTTGCTTTCCGACGTGGTATATGGGACCCATGAGGTATGCTATACAACATTGATGGGAAAACTAACTTAGTTAACGATTACCGGATTCGACGTATAATCCCACGACTCATTAATGATCAGATGATGCATATTACAAATAAGTCCCGTTAAGTATATTCTTTGAGGACTTGACTTGATATATTCTCCAACTTGAATTCACCAAAATTAAGATTCAGATCATATGCAGCCTTTACCACATAAAATTTATTCATATGATGTGGGCCGACGTGGGTTCGGCCCACATCCTGGCCCGACGCGGTTCGGCTCAATCTCGGAGCCTCTGGCTCAGAGGCCGGCGCGGGTCGGCCCAGTCCTGTGTGGCCCCGTTCGGGCTGGTACGGCCCAGCACCTTAAGCGCCCGTGGAGCCCAGCAGACAGGCCCTCTTCTGATCGGCACGTGCGGCTCACATCCGCCGGTTTCGTCCCCTTGCAGGCTCGGCCAGGGTTGACGCCAGGATTCAGCCCACAGCGTCTGTGGTCACCGTTTTAGCCCAGCGAGAGCCGAAGTGACCACTTACTGAGGCTGAACCAAACCGGTTTTATCGATTTTGATCGGTTCAAGCCTCTTTAACCTAAATTAGATCTAATCAAATATGAAGATTCCAGACTAGTTCTATGAGAATTTTAGATTGATTCAATTAGCTCCTAGTTGAATCTGAGTCCAGATCAAGTTATCAACTATGGTTGCAAGTCAATCAAAGTTTTGATTAAGAGATGACTTCTTATATTATTAATGTACGCATATGAATTTGATATGATATGTCGATAGTTGTGGATCTTATCCATGGACAAGAAGGCCAGTTTATCAAACGTGATTGCTAGATGGTTCCTTTCGAAGGAATGTATTCACAGGTGAGGCATACTACAGTATCTACGATTGGGAGTGTAATATAGTTTCTCTCTATCTACTGTTTTAAAAAAATCGAATCTAACGAACAACGCATCCTCATTCATTATTGGAAAAGTGCTCAACTAGAGTCCGACATATGCCAAATCTTCATACGATTTGAGATTGAACATGCTATCGAGACTAGTTATTGAAATTTATGATTGTACATATCTTATTATTGATTTTGTTATATATTTTAAGATGATGATTATGAGGTTCCTACTCATCATCGTTGATTTATGTTATTAATGTGTTTTCAGAGTAGCTTTCGTATTCTAATATTGACTCTGGTGTCGAACGGAGCGTCATCTATCGTTAGGTAGCACTGAAGGCCTATAATTTTTGCGATTCTAAAACATGTCATTAAAATTTGATTGCGTGATGTGAGATCCTATCATTTAAAATATATTTAAATTTTAAATTAAAAAAAATAGTTAATTTACATAGTATTTTTGTGTGAAAAATATCAAGAAAAAGAGGACATGGAATGTGATAAACAAACTCAAGATTGGTACATATAACTATCAGAAATGTCCTGTCGAGACATAAATGGATTTAATTAAGTTGATTTTTAGTACGAATCAGATCAAACGTCAGCAAAGAAATTGGAAACGTTGAGAGATGGAATTAAATAAGATGCAAGTAAACAAAAAGTTGAAGTCAATTGATTGCCAACCTAATCCATGATTCACACAACACGCATGTTATTCACGTGCCTGCGAACAAAACAAGTCACGTCTGTGTCTCTGCAACGTAAAGTCTCAATCCACCACTTTACTGGTCCACTTTTCCTTAAAATAAAATTAAGAACAGTCAATCGAAAGAATCAAGTGATGTCAAGTTTCCCTTGAAAAATCTCATTCACTCTCGTAGTGGAGGAAGGGGAAGACGAAGAAGTAGAAGACAAGTGATGTGGATCGAACAATATAAAACAGGAGGAAGGTGTTCGGTGAATAATAATGATGTGAAGGACACGGATTAAAATAGGACTAAGAACAGTCCCACCATGCTGACTACTGTAGAAGTTAATTCTAGATGCTCATAGGTCAATTCAATTCGTGAATTCCGATGTGAAATTAAACTAAGGAAGTTCACACTTGAGGTTCGAGAGCTCCTGGACATGCAAGAACCGATGAAAATAATAAAAGATAAGAATAATTATTGAAAGCTTTATTGAAGAAGTGAAAAAAATCTAAATACATCAATATGTCCATCTCCTATCTTATCTTCTATCATGCCCCCGTAAGATGGTGCTCTTGTCAAAGATATTAAGATGGTGCCCCGTAGGTTCGGCATTTCACTTTTTTCACTGTTCTGATACAATGATGAAAATAATAAAAAATAAGAATAATTATTGAAGAAGCTTTATTGAAGAAGTGAAAAAAACTTAAATATATTAACATGTCCTTCATCAACAAAATAGAGGATTTTTCTCAACAGAATAGAGAGATTTTCTCAACATATTATAAATATTTTTACAGTACCAGTTAATTAAATTAGTAACAAAATCGAAAGATAAGATTTACGTAAAAAAGTACTTCAACGTGCAGAAAAAATTAATCTTCTACTATAAAATAATGAGATCATAAAATTTATTAAATATCATATGAAAAAAAATTGAGCAGAAGAAGCAATCTTAAGCATATATACCGATTAATTTAAAGAGCATTGTGTCTAGATCAACCTCCGGATCGCCTCTCTACTGAACTAATAATGATCATTACGATCGTTCAAAGCAACCACAAATAGTACACAATTAGGTCCTTACTAGCTTAGCCCTCTCTCTATCAAGATCATCACATTCGAGTGACTATCGACTCTCCTTCCACTCCCTAAAAAATGAGAATCCTTTTCAACCATAGTCTTCCGACTACAAAAAGAAATGGAGGAAGAAAAATCATTTTGATCCACATACCGACATAATCATTTGTCATGCAATTTGTCACATTCTCGAACAATCATTGGCTATGAATCAGCTTGTGAGTTATATGAAATGTAAGATCCAAATGATCAAATCTATCATAAACTTTAATTATATTTAAATTATTTAAATTACTATATAAATATATTTTTCTTCTTCTTCTTCCTACTATTATTATGTATCGAAACTGAATTGAATTGGAATCAAAACCGAGCTAAACTTATAATCTTGATTTCTAATATATATATATATATATATATATATATATAATTTTTTATTTTTAATCGATTCCAAATCGACCCCAAAAGGATTCTCAATTATCGATTCCGGAACCAAAACCACCGATTCCAGAATCCAATAGGATCAGGTGTTCTTTCTTTAGTAGATACGAGGATTCCTAAAACAGTAAATAAAAATACCAAGCTGGCTACCGTAGACGGCCTAAAATGCCTATCATTGGACGTCTACAGTGGCACGAGACGTCACCCAGTAATCCAACACACGTGGATCGAACGCTACTACGCATCCAACTGGTACACCAAGTGGGCACCTGAGAACACGCTTTGCCACACTCACATGTACTATCCATGCCCTTCCGCTGTGGAAGAACACGGCAGAAGTCTTCTTCTTTTCGAGCTTATCCTGTGGTGCAGACAAAGAGACACAGCGGAAGGCTACTCCGTTTCAACCTCACCGTCATCCACCGCTTTCAGACGCGGTTCGCCCGGGGCTTTGTCGTCCCCGTTGCATGTCCCACACGGCGCAGCACAGTGCATGCCACATAAAGCAACCCGACTCCAGCTCTTCTTTGGATCATCGCAGATCCAGGACCATTCAACGAGCAGAAACCCCTACCCCTTTGTTCGTTACCTCGCCATGATTGCTCCCATGGCCATCATTACGAGCTCAGCAACAGAGGAGAGAGAGAGAGAGAGAGGAGGGAGAGCACAGCAAGCAAAGACATCACTGTGTTTTGCAGCAAGCAGTAGGCTAGCAGTACGTACGATTATAGTTGTAAGAGGAGGCAGAAACAAAAAAGGATCGACCCATGGCGGGGAATACAGGGGATAAGTACATGCAATTCCCATGCTCTCCTCATCCCCGTCGGGGGGACAAAATAGCTAAGGACCAAACCACAGCAGGGATCAGCATGGCTTCTTACTACCGAGTGATCTCAGCTTGGAGGGTGGACTTTAGGCCGACCTGCTCCATTTCCCAGCTCAGTTTGGCGACTACAGCATCCTCCACGGGCACGTATTCCTGCAGTATGACATTGAATAATGGGTGGTGTTTTCGCTTACAGTCTAAAGGGATACGAGGGAATACTATATTAGACACGGTAGGGGAGGAGAGAGAGAGAGAGAGAGGGGAGGGGGAGAACCAAGTCATTACCTCGAGCTTTTGGACGAGGTCATTGGCGGTGGGGGCGGAGACGAAGATGTGGCGCTGATATGGCTGGATGAAGCCGTCCTCGACGGCCTTGTCGATGAAGGCCAGCAGGGAGTTGTAGTAGCCGTCCACGTTGAGCAAGCCCACCTTCACAAACACCTTGCTGCGTTAGCGTCATCTCTCTCATGGAGCTATTGGGGGTTGGGAATGCTTACAGGCTTGTTGTGGATGCCGAGCTGCGCCCAGGTGATGACCTCCAGAAGCTCCTCCAGGGTTCCGTACCCACCTGAAGAGAACTCAGAGCAGGAGATAAGATCGAGAGGTGGTGGGTAACGAAAAGAGGAGTAGTTTTATGGAGGAGGGGGGTCGGACCCGGCAGCGCGATGAAGGCGTCAGAGTGGCGGGCCATCTCGGCCTTGCGCTGGTGCATGCTGGCCACCGGCTTCACCTCCCCAAGCGTCTCCCCCGTAATCTGATCGCCATACAAACGCAAGAAATGATTCATACAGACATGGAAATTAACGAGAAGGATCTAATGAAGCGAACGACAACCTCTTTGGCCATCAGAGTTCTTGGGATGATCCTGCAAGAAAAAGAAGAGGAAAGGTTAGAGACGATGCATCTGAAAGAAGAGAGAGAGACGGTGTTGTCTGTGCTGACCCGATCACGTGGCCACCACCATGATGAACAGCTTCGGAGACCAGACCCATCAGCCCGACGCTGCCGCCTCCATACACCAGATCGACCTTCCTCGCCACCTGAGCAGGAAGGAAAAGAAGGCCTCAGCAGCTGCGCGCAGCAGCGCAGAGGAGGTAGGGAGAACAAAGACCACCATAAAAAGGTTACCAGCTCCTTTCCCAGCTCTACGGCAGCATCTTGGTAACAGTTCCTCTTCCCTGTGCTGCTCCCACAGAAGACACACACCCGCTTGAACCTTGAATTCCCCAACTTCACCTCCGCCATCTCCCACCACGCCAACAGGGTTTTTACTCGACAATCCCCCACCCCCTCCTTTTCTGCCTGGCTGTGGCTTGGGAACCGCAGTTCTCTTCTCGAGATCCCTTCACTGGCCCCTGCCTTAAAGAGAGCTTCTGATAAGATGTGAACCAAGTATATATAAGCCTTTCCTGACCCTGTCTTTTTGATCTTTCCACTGCCCTGCACACCAAAGACAAAACGGGAAGAAAAAAATGAGAGAGAAAGAACGAAAGTGAGGTGTTTCATCAGCCCACGTAAATGCATATGTCGTTCTCAGCTCCTTTCTCTTGCGTACTTCTCGGAACACGGAAGATAACAGTATGGCAAGCTCAAATACACAGTAGAATACAGAAGATTCGAATGTTGTTGTGTGTGTGTACATATGTGCATTATAGAGAGAGAGAGAGAGAGAGAGAGACATTCTCAGCACAAAAGCACAAGGCAATCACGCCTCCGTAGTCATCCGCACGTGTAGGCCGTCCGCTTCCCTCGGAAACTCGCACATCCGAACTGTTCTCTTCCCTCTGCACGCCTACATCTCCCACTGCACTTGTCGTATGTGTTGCACCAGTGTGTGTGCGCGCGTCTCTGTCTCTCCATTAACTCTTTGGGCAGAAGCAGAAGCTACATGGTAGACTGCAAGTCAGCTAGGCATGCAGGACACAACAGCTGGATGATTACCGAAAGAGGAGGGCAGGGGAGGCTCAATTCAATAAAGCAGAATCATCCATTTGCTACATCCTCGCACAGGGCTGGCGAAGGAGACAGTGAGAGGGAAAGTGGACTCTCAGTTTTGTTCTCCATCCCCATCGCTGTCAACCTCTGTATCTCCTCCCTCCGGAGGGCTGCATGGGGGGGTTCTCATGTTATCTCTGACCTCATTTCATATCTCTGCAACAAAACAACACAGACTCTTGGAGACCTTTCATACCATGGGAATTAAAGCCAGAGTACCACAGTGGAGTAAAATAGCTGAAAGCTATGATAAATGCATATAAATATACCTCAGCGTTGAATGTTCTTCCTCCTCACATGAGTGGCTGCCATATCAACAAAACCAGAGCATACCACAAACTAAAAGGCTGACCGATGAACGACGTGTATCACCACGACTCACTGGTTTTCTACGGATTCCCTCCTTCCGAAGCAACTTAATCTTGTGGCTCGAATCGGTTGGGTCTAAGATCACATCAAGTCAAATTAGCCATTATAAAACTGCAATATATAATTATGTCTGCGGGACTTCGAACCTATTATAAACGTACATGTCAATCGGTATAAGTCGTATAACAGGGATTTTGTTCGTATATTTTATTTAGATTCTTATGTTGTGTTTCGCGTGTTTGCATAAAGAACGCGTATTCTAACGCGCTCGAGGGCCCCAGCGGGGGAGCCAATCGCGTGACCAGGATTCAAACACGGTGGAGGAAGGGGCGACCGTACGCCGGTCCGCGTGGGGCCCCCAGCGGTTCGGGAAGCGTGGCAACCTTTGCACCGTACACTGATTCCATTCAGTACTCGATGGCCTCTGATACCGCGATCGCTGCCGTCGACGTGGCTCTCATCATTAAGATGCATCAGGGTTCGCCGCTTGTCGGACCCGCCGCCCACCATGCGCCCAGATCCGTGCGACCACCATGGTGTCTTCGAGATTCGTTCATTCGTCTTGTATTTGAATCAAACCGTTCATCAGTTACTGCACGATTTTCGAATTTGTTTATTGGCCAGTTTGACCGCATTCAAATAGAACAATAAAGTGACCCCATTGATCGCCTTCCCTGGCAAAGCACGGGACCACCGGGGCCCACGCAAAAAAGGTCGGGCTACCAACCAAACGCGGAGATCCTCCATCCCCGCCATCAGCCGCCGTTGAATCCGGATCAGACAGCGGCGGCGAAACGCCGTCACAAGTACGCCCTCCTTTCCGAGGGAAATCCCGCCGACGGACAGAAACGGCGGAATCAACGCCACTGGCGACGTGGTCCCCGCGTGGGCCCCCCCATGGACGGTGCCGCCAGCAGTCGTCTTGGACGGAGAGCGTTTTACGATGTCCCCCCACGTGGCAGTTTGCAAAATCGCATTTACAACCCTTTAAAGTTTGTGATCTTTTCCTTTCTTCTTTCCATTTGAAGTTTATCGAATACGTGAACATTGCAAGGATTAATACGTAAAAGAGAACGTCATCGGCAGAACGCGACTCAGTCGTCTGATCTCCTCTTTGTCAGACGCCGAAGTAGACCACTTTTGCAGCGGATCTTCTTCGATGGCCGTTCCACTCATTGTTGTTATTCTTTCCATGGCGGGATGAGTGGTAACATCATGCAATAAATGATATTTGAGGGTTGAATGGGCTGATAGGCTCTACATTTGAATGAATTTATGAGGATTTGATGATTATGGTTCTAAGCTTATCTCATTAATCAATAATTAACCCTTTAGATTGAGTTAGCACATAATCAAATCCAAATTCCTCCTAACTATCGAATTAACTGGTAGTTCGACTTAGGTTTACACCTTCTTTATCCTATACATGCAGAGTCTTGGCATCGGCCAAGTGGTGCTTATCCAAGTCGTGAATGATTAGCTTAGCTTGCATTAATGGCGACTACAGATGTCTGTGACCACGTCTTCGTGCTTATCCACAACACCGTTGGAGTCGGTCACCTACTTACGATGATTGACGTCGATCTGTCCGATGGACTCGTGATTTTGCCTCAGAGGTGAGATGAAGAGATCCTCGTTTCAAATACATGCGTCCTCAGCATGCTTTAGACAAGGTCAAGAGTCAACGGGGCGATATATTGCGAAGCAAACACGCCACGATCGAGCATTTAAGGTGGTCGGATGCAAAAGCAAAAGCAAAAGATGAAGATATTGTTCTTGACCCTCTTAAGCGTGGCCGCGTTGTTCGGCGGCCTCGCCGAGCAATGCGGAACGCAGGCGGGGGGTGCGTTATGCCCCGGGGGACTATGCTGCAGCCAGTATGGCTTCTGCGGGTCCACTGAGGCATACTGCGGCTCCGGTTGCCAGAGCCAGTGCGGCGGCGACGTGGCCTCCATCATCAGCTCTTCCCTCTTCGACCAAATGCTGAAGCATCGGAACCCCTTTTACAAGTACGACGCTTTCATAGCCGCCGCGAACTCCTTCAGCGGGTTCGGGACGACCGGTGATGCCACCACTCGTGCGAGGGAGATCGCTGCCTTCCTAGCACAAACCTCCCACGAAACAACTGGTAATTAAGGAGCTTTCGACATGTTAAGCTTCGCTAGCTGAATCATGCATGATAAGGTAAACAAACTGTTGATGTCGGAAAGGTGGGTGGGCAACGGCCCCCGACGGTCCATATGCTTGGGGCTACTATTATGTCACGGAACAATCCGACACATCGGATCACTGCCAATGGAGGCCGGAGTGGCCATGCGCTCCCGGCAAGAAGTACTATGGCCGAGGACCCATGCAGATCTCCTTGTAAGTTGATGCACTCCCCCCTCTTGTAAGCATGCAGTGGATATCTCCTCTAAACAACTACCTCACGCTTCAGCAACTACAACTACGGACCGGCGGGGCAAGCCATCGGCGTCGACCTGCTCAACAACCCGGACCTGGTCGCCACCGACCCGGTCGTCTCGTTCAAGACGGCCTTGTGGTTCTGGATGACGCCGCAGTCGCCGAAGCCGTCGTGCCACGACGTGATCACCGGGCGGTGGACCCCGTCGACCGCCGATCAGTCCGCAGGGAGGTTGCCGGGATACGGTGTCGTCACCAACATCATTAACGGAGGGTTGGAGTGCGGGATAGGGCCCGATGCCCGGGTTGCGGACCGGATCGGATTCTACAAGACGTACTGTGACCTCCTGGGAGTGAGCTATGGAGACAACTTGGACTGCTACGGCCAGAGGCCTTTTGGATTTGCCTCCTTATCCGAGAGTCGAGAAGGCTAAATGTGTGTCGGCTTCAGCCGCATGATGGATGTACTAAACAAAGCAGCCGCCTCTCTTATCGCTACAATGTGTGGCAGCCCAGGATAAATCACCTGTGCCTGTTGTCACTCGAGAATGTTCTCGAGTTCTTAATTCCCGCTATCCTGTAATAATAATCTTGTTTTCCTCGGGACAAAATTTAGTGTGTCGTGGCACGATGACTTCGACGATTGCGGCGTCATCCAAAACCAGACGGCAGGTTGCCGAGCAGGTCCGATACGATGGCTTGCCCGGCCGAACATGCAGCAAGACAGACTTGGTGATTCGTGGTGAAGTGCTACCGTGGTTCCTCGTTGACTTCCACTCTGCTTTTATCGACAGTTCATCGTTTCGCTTGTAAGTCAACCACGCTTATTTTCTTGACCAGGTCAACGGAACCGAGCAGTAGTTTACGGAGAGTAGTGGCGTCCTCTATAAGCAATGCAATCCATTCTCTGCTTGCGACGGCAAAGAGAGTGAAAGCAGGGTGAATAAGATGATATGTATCCTCCTTGTCCTCCAAAGGATGCTGCAGTTATCTATAGCTTTCAGACGATTCTCTTCTTCCTTTCGTGTTCTCTTACTGTTCTGTTACCTTCTCTTTACATTCTCAGGACGGTCAAAGAGGTCAAAAAGAAGGGGGGAAGAGTTACACTAGTGGTGCGTAAGATTCCCCTGACAAATCTTCCCCCTCTTCTCTCACAAGGATTCTGCTACCACAATTACAACTTTGCTTTTGATATTTACTCTCTTTCTCTCTCTTCCCTCACTGACAGACAGCCATATCCTCCTATGTTTGTACCCAGAGAAATTACATGTTTTGGCATGGGGTATCTCTCTAACAAATAATCCAAGAGACTTTCTAGCTTGGGGTATGATCTGCTGAGCTATCATCTGTCACTCCTATGTCCTAAGTTCTTAACATTGGAATGACTGTTGGTGCAGTGAATGGAGGAGGCTTTACTGCTGTTACTGCTCCGCAGGTTTCATTTCTCTTGGTCACTTCTTCCATGCAATTTACCTTTACCCTTTGCTTCTCCTAGCCTGTGGTAATCAGACTTGCAGAGTAGAGCGAGAGCTAGAACAAATGTCTTCTTGGTTCCCATGCCCGGTGGGCGTGTTGAGCTGTTCGTTTCAGAGCACGTAAAGTGTTTCCTAACTTCCTCCTCGATCAATCTGTTGAGAGCTCACACACCATCCGAATGACCAAATTCTGTTCATTCTTTAAAGAACACTCTTATGTTCTAAAGAGATTTAAATATGCTTTGCATGTCTCGCACTCACTGAGGCAAATCTTCTGCACAGATGACGGATGGCCAACGCACCCGAGAGTTCATGATGTCCCAGTGCACCTCGGACTCCTACGATCGCTCCATCGACATACCCATGGCTGATAACAATATGGACTCGGGTGCTGGTGGTGGTGATGATTCCCAGCCATGGCTTGCCCCGCAGGCAATGGCGACGGGCGCTCAAGCTCTTCCCTGGGATCTCTACGCCTCCCACTTGAACTTGTTCGACAGGACGAAGGATGACGACGTCCTGCACGATGGCTCTACCAGAAACTTCTTCCTTCTCGGCAATCTTCCACCTCCGCTGTCGGAGTCCATGGTCGGTAATGGCTTCCCGGAAGACGCATTGGCGTATCAGCAGTCGCTCCTGACGACCGCGAGCAATCTGCACTGCCACAATTTTGGTGCGGAGTCGTCAGTGACTCGGGAGATCGCTGGTCACGGTAAGGAGTCCCTGAAGATGGAAGGCAATGCCCGAATCGAGTCGGGCTCGGAAGGCAGCGACGATGACGAGGAGCACCGGCCGGCGAGGAGGTCGGGCAAGCAACACTGCTCGAAGAACCTCTTCGCGGAGCGAAAGAGAAGGAAGAAGCTCAACGATCGGCTCTATGCTCTGCGCGCATTGGTTCCAAAGATCACAAAGGTTGCAAATCATCTTCTAGCTGAAGGATCATAAGCCTTACTTCGTCGAACGATGCTAATGACAGAAATGTTGGCGATGGGTAGATGGACAGGGCTTCGATACTAGGAGACGCCATCGAGTACGTGATGGATTTGCAGAAGCAAGTGAAGGATCTGCAGGACGAACTGGAGGAGACGAATCAGGAGGACGACGGCCACGACAAGCAGATCGGAAGCAACCTCCGCAACAGCAACAGCCAAATGGATGTCCCGATCCCAAATGGGTGGCTGGATCACGACGATTCTGGGAACAATCCCAGGACGGCAGCCGCCGCCGACGATAACAAGCCATCATCCGACAAGGGTCAGCAGATGGAGGTGATCGATCGTCTTTACATGTTCTACCGCTGCAACACTAGAAAGCCCTCCTTACTGCATCTTGATGCACATGAGCAGCCACAGGTGGAGGTGAGGCAACTGGAGGCGAACGAGTTCTTCCTGAAGGTGCTGTGCGAGCACAAGCAAGGAGGGTTTTCGAGGCTGCTTGAGGCGATGAGCTCCCTGGGACTGGAAGTAACCAATGTCAGTGTCACCACGTACGGGAGCCTAGTCTTGAACGTCTTCAGAGTTGAGGTAATATGATCAAACTCTCAGGCTAAAGTCTCATGGAAATCGAGCTTAATTAAATCCATAGACGATCCATATGCAGAGAAGAGATGATGAAGTGGTGGAAGCAGATCGAGTGAGGGACTCATTGCTGGAGGTGACGCGAGATCCGCAAGGGTGGTCAGGGCTTGCGCAAGCAGTGGAGTATCAGCAGCAGCACCCCCAGCACGGCCACAGCCACCACGAGCTCGGCTTCGACCATCACCTTCATTACCTTCACCACCAAGCATAGCTTGGCAACACAATGGTGTGCTTCACAATGTTTGTAGTTTGAGCTCATCTACCGTGTTGTTAGTCCTCTTATATTCTCTACGAGAAATATAGAAATGGGGGCGTGAAATAAATCCAAAAACATAGAGCTTTTCTTGGGAAATTATCAAAAAAATATTAGTAAAGAGGAAGCATTATTTTCCTTAATTAAAAACTGCCAAATATTTTCCAAAAATAAAAAAAGAGAAGACCTCATTTTCTTTCTCTTTCTTTTGTTTGATATGATGATTATTTTGCACACTGTACATTTCTCATTTGATTTCAAATTCTAAGATTTGGCGCCAAACTCTACAAAGAGGGCGTTAGTATATTAAGAAGCGCGACTCGCGTGTTCACCAGACTCCTGAACACCCTCCCGTTTCCCTCCTCCAATCCCTCCATGCTCTCCTCCATCGCCTTCATCGCCCCTTCCTCGCTTCGCTTCTTCCATGCCCTCCTCAACGCCCGATCCGTCCAAGAACCCTTCGACATCGAGGTGGCGGCCGACGATGACACCGCCGCGATCGCCAAGAAAACCGCCATCGACGTGGCCGCCGTTGCCGCCACCGCTTCCGCGATGATGCCGGCAACCTCGGCCTCGGCCTCCTCCGCCCACAGCCCCGGGTTCAGGGACCGAGATCTGGCGAGATCCTTGACGGTCGAGGCGAGCCTGGCGAGCTCCTTCTCCGCCCGGCGGTGGGACCGCGCGGCGGAGGCGAGCCGCACGGGGTCGCGCCGCCGGATCGCGGCCCGGGCCTCCGCGTGGTCTTGCCCGAGGGCTGTGACGACGGAGCGGAGGGAGCCGTGGGCGTCGACGAGGCGTAGGAAGCCGTCGAGAAGGCGGTCGACCCAGGCGGGTCCGCCTCGGAGCGTGTCCTGGGCCTGAGGTAATCGGAGGAGGTCGTCGAGGGCTGCGAGGAGACGGTCGATCCGGCCGAGCCCCGCGGCGGGGGAGGAGCAGCGGGTGCAGGGATCCAGGCAGGAGCGGATCTGGTCGATGAGGTGGGAGAGGGCCGGGTGGGAGCGGCAGGGGAGGCTGGTGGAGCGGAGGTGGCAGGGCTCATCGAGGCGGTTCGATCCCGGCAGAGACACGGAACGGTGGAATCCTGAGACCATCTCCTTTGGCCTGGTACGCTTCCTGATCTCCAATCTCTTTAAGTTGAGCTTCTTTTTCCGTCTGCGTATCTTGCGGAGCGAGGGATGAGAGGGAGAGGAGTCGGAGGCCGGCAGTTCTTAAACGAGGGCGGGGTTCGGTGAGCTTAGAGTACTAAACAAACTAATCCATTAAAGAAAGAGAGGAAAACCAAAGGCGCGCACGAGCGGTGGAGTGAATCTTCTACCAACTCGGATAAGCACGACCAACGCCATACTGTTGAACCTTTTAGTAGTGAGCTTGCCGAGAGAAGCCAGCCCATGCGAATTCGTCAATTCATCAAACACATTGAGGGCCACGAAATGTCTCATGATTCGTTGCAAGTCACATCGATCCCGCGGGAGTGCGTCCGTGGTCTATGCAAGGCGGATCCGGTGAAATCCGGGGAGTTGCGGAACCAACAGATTAGACTAATGGAATGTGTGCAAGCCAACCGGGCATGACAGGTAGCTCCTTCTCATCATATCTTACAAACAATATGCGCTGGTTTGATCTGCAATTACTTTAGTCATCAGAGATTCGTACTGTCTTTCTTCTCTGGTTCGGAATTAGATGCCCGCACGGGGCACGAGGAGCCCTGAAAGAGTTCTTCGTCTCTATGTGCGTTTGGGTGGCCGATAGGAAATAGAATTGAGAGATGGCGAGAATCCAAAATGAATTTAAAAGGGTTTGGTTGGGTGATTGATGGAAACTAGGAACTAAAGAGTTCGATGATTGAACCAAGTTGTTCAGATCGGCTCAGCTCGGCAGGCAACTCGATTAAGCCCGGTCCAATCGACGATGAGTTTGTGGGCTTGGACTAAGTCAAATGCTATATGCTAGATTTATCAATCTCAAAGAGAAATTAGAGTTGTTTAAACTTGATAGGGTGTGTATCGATCCCAACATGACCAGAAGACTCAAAATTAGTAGTGAAATTGACTCCAAAGGATAAAAGAAGATTACTGCCATGCATTTTTCCAGATTTGTTGATCAAAGAGATGAGACTGAATTAAACTAAACTGAATAGCAAAAGATAATCGAAGTACTATTATATCACTTAGGTTGATCAAATATCCATTAGTTTTGTAACACCTAATCCTAACTCTCCACATCCAATCCTAAGCCTCATCCTGATATGCCATCTTGTTTTCTTGCATTACAGCCTTGACATTATTCAAATGCATAAAAGATGGTGAGAGGTGGGCCACAATCATGTTTCTAAAGGATTTGCTGTAGAACTATCATACGCTTGATGTATTTATGAAAACTATTATGCTAACATGTAATTACGTCAAGCAAGTAAAAGGCATCAAGTGGGGATGTCCTGAAAACCACAAACATGGCACATCCAGGTAAAATCGAAACACCAGATGATTCAAGGTGCTAGTAGGACTACAATACCTCATTTTCATGCCCATGTTCGTGAGAGTGGTCACCATGTCCTTCCCAAGGATGACGCCAACCCTACGAAGAGTGTATCCATACCACAGTGAATACATTGAGATAATCAAAAGGTCATACATCAGTATATGGGTGTATATTCTGAGATAAGTAATTTACCAAAACTACTGGACCATCTTGCTTAGCCCTGTAAAGAACCCAAAACCTGCAAAAGAATACTTAGTTCATTCAGCTCAATGGAATCTACGAGGCATTGCCTAACTACATTACACTTGCTATGTTCAAGTAAGGCATCTACAAGTGAGGCATCATAGTTATGGTTAAAGTTTGTAGAGACCGCCATGCATCAGCATCTTCACACAATTTTTCATACCAGTCAAGCATGAAAACAGCACTTTTAGCATAAACTATTTGGAGTTAGCTACATCAATCTTTCCCCACTGTTTTCCACTTATATATGGTTGGGCTTTTTTATGCATAACGGTTTTGTCAAATGATCCAAGACACGCTTAATAATTTGCCAGTCTTCTAAATCATCCAAATTGAGATTTGCCAGAATATGATCAACTACAACGACAATCCCTCTTTAGTGCCATATGCTTAATGAATCTTTACATTGTGTGGATTTAGACACCTGCCCTAAATTATGCTTCGTGAGAAAAAGAAATGCACAAAGAACGGGGGGGGGAGCAAATTTGGGTATGACATAAATAAAGGTAGTACTAGTTTTACAGGAAAATAAATAATGAAATCGTTTATCATCTACTTTTGGACCCTATGTGCTTCAGAACAGCAACCAGTCGAAGATTGCTCATATGGTCTTTCCTCCCGAGTTATGGAGTTAATATGGAATGGCACAAAGCCACAAAGGAAGCTCTGGAATCACAGTGTGCATGTGGCTCCCTATAAAAAAACATTTATTACTCCGATGAAATCGGTGGTTAATGGCCATGACGCGTGTTCGCGGTCAAGATCAAACTCGAGAATTGAAGATCCAAGAATGTGGTTTGTGGATTTGGACGACCGGTAGATCGAAATTTTCGTGGAGCCCCAAATTTGAAGATCGGAAACGAGTTTAGAAAGAAACCCTTATAACATGTGATAACCATCGCAACTAATCAACAAAGTAAAGAGGGTTGGATCGAGGAAGAAGAGAAGAGGGCAGAAGATGTAGAGGGGTTAGGGTCAGCGTCAGCGAAAGGGATTAAGGGAAATGTGGTCACCACATGATGGCGCAGAGGCTCTTTCCGGTAACGACGTGCCACCGCTTGGGGTGGTGAATGGTGAAACCCTTGTACGTCGTGCTCTCACCATGACCGCCGCCGCCGCCGCCCATCCTTCTCCTTCCCACTCTCCCGATCGCTCGATCTCGATCGACCGACCGGAACAAAGAGAGACACGAACGTCGGACGGTTCTTGTGATTAAACGGACGGTCTGGATGTGTATACAAGAACAGAAATAAATTAAAATTATTTATACTAGCCAAACTAAAATTTAAAAGCTATAATTGTTCTTAATTCGATTAATGAGACTTAAAAAGGGAAACTTTTTTATTTTCTTTTTTATAAAACAAAAGACTTTGAGGACATTATAGGAAATGAAAGAAATCGAATATATATTATTATATATATTGTTATTATTATTATTATATATATATATATATATATATATATATATATATATATATATTGATAATTATATTGGTAATGATACGAGTAATGATAATGGTAATGGTAATAGCAATGATATTGGTATTGATAATGATATTAATAATGATAATGGTATTCATAACAATATAGAGACTAGTAATAATAATGATATTGGTATTAATAAAGATATTGATAATAATATTAGTAATAGTACTGATATTATTATTAGCAATGGTATTGGTATTAGTATTAGTATTGATATTGATAATCATAAAATTATTTTTATTTATTGGTAATAGTATTAATAACAATATTGATAATGTCAATGGTAATGACATCGATGTCGATACCTACGAAGTTAGTAATAATAATGATAATGGTAAAAAAGGATTGGAATTGTACAGTTCAAACTCAATTTCACCCACTTTAACCTTCTATACCCACTCAATAATGTCAAGAACAAATTTGAGATGAGAGAAGCATACATACAGAAGCAACCTTTCAACCTTCTTTACCCACTCAAATAATGATAAGGATACAGTTCCAAATGCCACAACCTTAGAAGGACCTTTATTGTGGATCGCTTTCCAACAATCGCAATCAAATTAAACATGTTACATGGTTAGTGTATCAGGAAGAGCATTAGGGGCACCTAAAACCTTCCCACCAACATCAGGAAAACACTCATGGTTGGGCAGGGGACCCACGTTACCATCAGCTTCCACCTGAATAGGGTATCTTAGTAGGTGACCTGTGAGCGCCGTCATTTCGTCAGCAGTATATCTCGACCAGTTATCCTCGGCCGTCTTGTTTACGAATTTTACGCACTCCAAGCTGTTGGGCTCCTCGAAGCGGTCATCTAACATCCCCATATGCTCTGCCCACAGTGACATCCGATATCCATATACCTGTAGCAGTTCAATTTTTCTTTAACATAGAAAACGCTTGATATAATACCTTGCATTCCCAAAAAACAATTGCAAATAATGTTGGAAAATATCTCAAAAAGATGGTAGAAATCAAAGAATCCTCTCTTTGATCAGCAGGAAAAATATAGATGCTATATAATGAATGCTCGAGAATAATTCAACAATTGCATTCCTAGCTTTCAAATATATATGATGATATTGAACGACAAGGACATGAAAAGACTATGAATGGTACTAACCTGGCCGTGTGGATGTCTTCTGTTCTTAGTCCATGTATGATGAGGCTGATAGGCTCCCATGGCTATCTCAGTATCTCTTGAACCAGCCAAAGATCTTTGGTTAATATTGGCTGAACCAACTATCACATACTCATCATCTACAATCATCCCTTTTGCATGAACATATATCATGAACCGCCGGAACTTTTGGGACAAAGTCTGAGCTTATTCAAGATGGAATAGTTACGTATTAGTCGCGAAGCACACTAAAACATAATGTCAAATTATGTCGTGGATATGTTACCGCTGGGGATTTTTCCAGAAATTGATCATCTTGCTGCAGTTTATCTGCTGGTGTTTCTTCACGGTTGCCAAGACAATAGAAATTAAGGTAGTCTTGTGGATGTGCATTTTCAAGGTTCATGGATTTAAGCTCCTGTGCCACGATTTCGTACATCATCTGAATTGTTTGGCCCTGAAATGAGCATGAATATAAACAGTTAATTATATTAGATGGAAGGATGAAGTCTCAAAAACCTTAGCAGCAGACAGGATCAACTTTGCATCGTCTCAAGAAATGATGTCATATGATCAACATAAACACCCTCAATAATGTTCTACCAAATTTACATGCAATATTGTCATGAATTGGGCCAGAATATTCTCCAAACATGGATAATAACCTTTTTTGAGCATGAGTTAAAAGCTATCCTCAATTGCTTCATAGCAAATTCTACTTTTATGGACAATCATTTGCAATATCATCCAAATAGACAATGACTTTTGCCTATGAAGCTATTGTTCTTATTGAGTATACAATGACTTTTGAAGCAATAACAAACATGCTCTTCATAACATTTCCAAGATCAAGATTGATATTTTTCTTTTTGCAGAATGATGCTTGTTGCAGCATCATCATGAATTATTCAGCAGCATTGTTTATAAATTTTAATAGATCTTGCAAATTTCCTTCCATAAAAATTAATGTTACGCATGATGCTCATATTTGATAAGCCAACAAGGAAAAGATTTGTGGATGATATTGGATGGATGAAGCAACGCCAAATGTGCATCCACTACGGAAAAAGACATGAGCTAGAAAAGGAAGAAAAGAAATGGTCAATCCATAGAAATTAAGTTCAATCTGTACTTAAATTATGATCTGTAAGCACAAATAATTTCTGAATTTAGATGTAAATACAAAGCAAAAAGTAATCAAAATGGCTATAAAAATTGCAATGGTTAAGTTCATCAAAAGCTGAATGGCATCATTTTGTTTATCGAGGATCAGTTTTTGAATATATGAGGGTTTTAAATAATACCTGCCAAAAAAGAATTTCTTGCACGGCATTCGAATTTGGATCTCCTTCAGGCCACATTGGCATAACCACATAAACTGCAAATCGCTCATTCGCTCTAATTTTGCTGGCAACTTTCAGGGCTAACTCCATGGGTATCAGGTTATCGGCACCTGTTGATGCCAAGGGAGATAATGAATTGTGCATAGTGCATACAATAGAGACAGAAAGGAGCTACAATGAAATTCGACATAAGAGAATGTTGTCAATAGTAGTGTTACGTTACACCATGTAAACTGTCAAATGCTAATGAATGAAAAGTGGATGCCGCTTACAAGTATATGATTCTCGACGACTTATCTAGTTGTCAACTTTCCATCTGTATCATAAAACTTTTAATTATCTGCAATTGACTTATCTAGTTGTCAACTTTCCATCTGTGAAACAAGTGTGAGAGTACCATGCATCCTGTCCCTATCAAAATGTTGCCCGTTTTTTGAATCATTCTTTGATAATTGCTAGTATTTGCTTGTAACATGTATCCTGTCCCTCTCTCTCTTTCATGCCTCATGCTGCCTCCTCCAGCCACATCACTGCCCATCCTCCTCAATGAGCCAAGGCTATTTTCCTGCACCTCATTGCATCGCTCCTACCACCTCCTCCTCTTCCAATCGGATGGGTGTGGTGATATTGTATACACCCCACCATACCGAACCATTCTGCCCAGAACCGGTATTGGTACCAGACAAAAATCTAGAACCTTGATTTAGAAAATAGCTAATTCTAGAGTGCTTGATGATACCTAAGAGAGACTATTAATTGGCTGATCATCTGACAGCTATTAACAGAGAAGATAGATGGTCGCCTTTTGGTTTTCTGTTTTTTAGTTTTATTAGATGAGTGTTTAGGTTTCAGAGATTTAATTTCTATCATGGAGAATTATATGGTTATATGCATTTATGCACTTCTTGGTGGTTGGTATTCTGTTTTTTAGTTTTATTAGATGAGAGTTTAGGTTTCAGGGATTTAATCTCTATCATGGAGAATTATATGGTTATATGCATATATGCACTTCTTGGTGGTTGGTCTTCTGTTTTTTAGTTTTATCAGATGAGAGTTTAGGTTTCAGAGATTAAATTTCTATCATGGAGAATTATATGGTTATATGCATTTATGCATTTATTGGTGGTTGCATATCATGATTTCTAACAAAGGCACTCCAAACTAAAATGCTTCTTGTTTACTGAAAATTTATGCAGTACAATGTAATTGCTGCAAAATCATACCTGGGTTCTTATAAGATGGCCAAGCAAATGAAGAACCAAGAAAATACTGATTTTCGATATATATGAAATGTTGGGCCGATCTGATTGCCTTTACATATGCTGTGTGGATGCTCTTATCAATAACCAGATTCTTTTGACAAACAAGATTCTGCAACAGTGAATAACAGATAGTCGACAAGACAAAGACAAAGGCATCAGAACTATATAGTTTCTGCAGAATACTGTGAACAAGTACTCGTATGAGCACAAACAAAATTGATTCTTCAATCGTTAATAATGAAAGAGATCTAATGGTTATATGGAGGATGCTAGTATATTGTGAAGGCAAAAGACTGACCACATTCATAGCTTCTTGGACATTGCTGGGAAATCCTTTTACTGATCCAGAGTCTATGGATCTAAAGACCTGACAAATTAAAGAAAGAAGCTATAAGTAACACTTGAAATAAGCTTGAAGTTATTCACCAGCTAATTAATTATGTACAACCTGAACATGCCAGTGATCAGAATCTTCCTCCCGGGAAACCCATAGGCTTGGATCATCATCTGGAACAGAAGGTGAAGGACTAAGTATCCATGAAATTCGTTCAAGTTTTATTAGTGCATCATCTTGCCATCGGGATGTTTTTCTAAAACGTAGACTAAATTCCCGCCATTTTGTAGCCTTCCGCCAGCGCTGCTCAAAATTCTTCAGGATATCATAAGCAGCAGGACCTTCAATTTTGCAATGCAAATCATGCCATGGTTGTCTTGGGCCGTTAGTTCCTGCCTAAACATAACCAGAAAATATGAAAAGTTACATAAAACCAATAATACATGAAAGCTCCTAGATCATTGACCAAACATGTTCGTCTATGCTTTTCATGAGTAGCTTGCCAAATTAATAGATCACATTTTAAAAAAAAATCTAGGTATGGACCACTAAGTCCTGCCAAACATTACAAGAAAATACAAAAAGAGAAGTTGATAAATTTACATAAATCCCACAAATTCTCAAAGCTCCTAGATATCGAATGTGCAAACTTTTTTTTCTAATGGCCTTTAAAAGTAACTTGCTGGATTTATCGGCTGATTGATCTACTAATCATGAACTTCCAATTTCCTTCAGTTGTGTCATTGCTGTCAGTATACTTCGACAAATTTATCTATTATATGCATGTGTGAGCCACTAACAAAAAATAGAAAAGAAATGACACCATATACTAGGAACCTAAATGCAACCAAACAACTTATTGGTATTTCATACTTTATCAATGCTTTATTCTAAAACAATCATATCTGAGCAAGCCTCCCAATGTATTCATTACAATCAGCTAAATTCTGTAAAGAAACATGTGCTGAATATTACCATTTAAACTCCCATACTAGGCAGTACATATCCATCCAACAAAAGGCCAGGATGCAAAACCACCTTATTTCACCAAATACTAAGCCACACCCTATCATGATCAATCTCAACCAGTTTAGGTCAAAAACCTAAAAAACCATCTAGGTTTCCACCAGTTAACCAGTTCAAACCCTTGATGAAATCTTGCAAAACCCTTGACACACATCCCTTCCACAAATTTGGGCATGGGCCTCTCTCCACCACCACCACTCACTGAATCAGATTAGCTGTGCATTCACCCTCACTCAAGTACCTCATGCTCGGGGTTAAAGGGGGTCGGATAATTTCTGTCTGAATCTGTTGCTTGTAAGACTGGAGATAGGTATCATTACTCAAAAAGTGTAACCATCAAATTTGAGCATTCATAATCAAATCTTATTAACCAAGATATATTGGATATGGTTACAATAAGGATTGTGTTCTAACTGTACCCAAATATATGAATGTATCTCCAAGTGCTATATCTATGTGTGTTAACCTAAGAAAAGTCATTACTACATTGATTTTTCAATGTAGAACATATTCTCTTTTTCTTGTGCTTCTTTTCTTTTTCATGTTATTTTTCTCAAACTTTTATTATATAAAATATATGAGTGGTAGATCTGAAATAGTTTCATGATTTTTTTAAAAGATTACTATTCATGGCCCCTTTTTACTATTGGCAACCCTTTGAAAAAATAATAAACTACTATTCTACTATTTACAGGTTCAGTATTACGATTTTATCCTTCGTTTTTTTTTTTCCTCACGGCCCCTTATTTCATACTCACTGCAGACACCCCTCCCTACCAATGTCGTTGCCGCTTAACGCCGGCATCACTCGCTGCCAACATTGCTCATCGCTAACATTGCTCGCCGTCGTGGCCAATTCCGTCTGGCTCCACTCACCACCCCCTTGACACCGTTTGGCCCCACTCACCACCCCCTCGATGCCGTCCTCCAAGGAGAAAGAAGAAGAGTAGGTGAAAGAAGAAGGAAGAGGAGGAAGAAAAAGAAGAGGGTATTTACGTCCATTTTGCAAAAAGATAGTTTAGAAATATTAAAAAAATTTAAAATAAGATTGTAAATAGTAAAAATGGGATTGCAAATAGTATTCTTTGTTTTTTTTTTTTTAGCCGGATGACAAAATAAAAAATTCCTTCATAGTTAATTTATTCCCTAAGTTGCATCTCTAGATCTTTATGGCTTAATATCAAATATTCAATATAAAACTTTATGCATCAATGGTAATGTGTAGATATGTTAATATATAAATTATCAAGTTTCTGAAAATTATTTTGACAATTTCGCATGCATGAAGCCTATATCAACTTTGTCATCTAATGCATGCTACAACACAATATGACAAACAAATCATAGTCAAGATATGAAGGTCAATGGAATAGAAAAATCTAAAATGCTAAACAGATAAACTGGTAACATGATAGCATAGTATAACAATACATAGCTAAGTTTTTCTTTCTTTTTTTTCAAATGCATAGTTGAGTTTGATAAACATTCTCGATACATATATTTCTATATCAATGACTAAAATGTGGATAGGACAGCAGTGTCAAGTGCCAACCAACAAAGATTCATAAACATGGTTTTCCAACTTTAGAAATTCTTGTTAAGATCTGATATCCAATAAATGCAGTCTACCTAATAAACAAACTTAGCAAGTTGCATCTGAAAAACCATGAGCTTAGAAGAAGAAATCAGAAAGGACAAAAAAACTCACAGAAAATGTAGGATTATGGACATCATTCAAAAATACTGTGTCCAGATCACGAAAAAGTCTATGTTCTGGTGTATCATAGCGGCCATCACAAAGATCTAGGCCTCCTATGAAAGCAGTGATCTTTCTCTCATTTCCAGAAGCCTGTGTATCGACCAATACACATTTCTGATGGTGTGTAAAAAGGGTCCCTACCACCTGCATGAAGAGGACAAACAAGTAACTATACCGCAAAACAAAATAAAAGAGAAAAACTGTAAACTTTCACTCTTTTAGATAAGGACACTTCAGTATTAGTTAGCAAAAGACATTAAAATTAAAACAGGACTAAATTTTGTGTTCATAGATAATGCTCATGGTTAACAAAAGAAACATATTGTTAATTGAAATTTTCAGTGATGATAAGTAAAACACAAAGTACAAACAATAGACAAAGTCACATCATCACATGATCAAAAATATATCCTATCAAATCTTCTAATAGGTAAAACTGAATTGGTTTTGTTTGAACGCCAGCTTAAAATCATCATAGAACCGATTCAGTTTGGTTCAGAGGAAAATTTAGAACAAAATATATTAGGATCCAACATATAACAGGTGGCGAAATTGTTCCCTATTTAATTCATAGCGATGGAGGAAATCCTCGATAGATAAAAGAAATTAAAAACAGCCAGAGCCCCAGTTATGGAATTACTTAGTGGCTTATCTCAATGCAAGTTTAAAATCCTGTCCAGATTAAGTGGCACTTGTATCATCTGAAAACTTTCAATTGAAATGATATGAGCTCTAGTGTATCTTATAAGACCAAACTGATGGATACAGATGGTACATGATTAAATAAATATGCACTAAATAGTTTGTAGTCACAACTTTAACCTTGTTGATCATTCTTTATTGTTCACAACTTCACATAAATATCAAACCTAATAGATTATAGAAACAAACATAACTATAGTTAAGACATCAACTTTGATTCTCATAAAACTAGATTTTGTTACTTTTCCAATCTGTTGTTCATTTAATTTTTGCAGTTTTCCAACTAAATCATGTGAACACAAGCATTTGTCCAAAAATATCTAGATAAAGTGCTATGCTATGTAATTCAATAACATGATTATTCATGTAATTTGATCTTTAGCTAAAAGGATCTTTCGAGCTACCTATAGCCAAAAGCCCTACCTAAATATTTTACTAAAATATATGAGAAGAATAGAAGAATATAATGGTGTAAAGCTTGCCTGCTGCTTGAAAATGCTAAGTTTACTGCTGGCATAACGAGGTGATAACACACAAATAACAGAGGAATGCTTGAAGAACTTCCGGGTCTCCTCATCATGAGTTTGCATTACACCTCCCTGCAGAAGCATATGTGCATGCAGATCAATAAATTTTATTAAAATGCCTAACTATGATAGTTGGCTCAGAAGCAGCCTGATCTTTAGCTTTGTTGTTATTTAGCGTAGAGGAAAGCATACGATCATTTTTGTGGAAAATGTGTACTACAAGATAGTCACATCATTTAAGGCTTTAGATAGTATATGAGTTGCTATCTACCCTCAAAAGGCACCGTACATGTACTTTTTTAAGGAACTCGACTCACACAGGTCTTTTGCATTTTTTTTGTGGTTTGTTCCTAATCATTTGGTTATATGGAAAGACATTTATCATGAACCACAAATCTAGGGTGTCATTAAATTTAGCTGATATATTTTTTTACAAAATATATCAAAATTCCATATATTCTCCATTTTAAAAATATTTTTCCAATAACTAAGTAGGCAAATTAATTCCGAACTCTAGCCGAACTTCCTGTATAATTTCTTAGTCTTGAATTATTACAAAATGGTAAATTTGTGATCATGGTCACACCAGCAATAAGATGTCCACCCCCAGCTACTGACCCAATATTATGTAAGAGGGTGCAGCAACTGAGTGATTCTTTGTAGCAGAGAATGATAAACCATAATTTAATGTGCTAAGCCTAAGGTTTTTAAGTTCTTGCATTAGTTATCTATGAAAAAACTTGGTAAATAGAAGAATGTGATTCTAAAAGGCCAATCAAATCTAGATACTGGTCAGCAATACTCAAATTTTTTAATGTTTCCTGAAACATGTTCTCTGTAAAAGTTTTATTTACAATGCTATATAATTTAGAAAACAAAAGAACTAGTAATTTGCAATGCAACAGGATTATTACCCTCTCAGATCAAGAAAGAACATGACGGGATTAATTGAAGAGATGAAAACAGAGAAGGTTCTCTCGACTGCAAAGGTGGTCACTATCCATTGGATGAAGATGGAGATACTAATTACAACTTTAATGCTAAGTTCTAGCAAACGAATGAATAAAAGGACTTGCAATTGAATTGGTCTTACCGTCTTGAGAAAAAATTTGTCGTGGGAGGTCTTGTCGTCCCACACCAACATGCACACTCTCACCCCCTCCTGCGACTTGTACTTAAGCAGCTCTCCCAGTGTGAGCTTACCTGCGTTCGGCAGGGACCGCGTTGGCTCTCTCACCAGCTTAATCTCGTGGTATATCGACCAGCCAACCAGATAAATCAGATGATGCGCCTCAAGAATCGCATGACAGATATCCTCCCAGCAATTCTCGTGCTTAAACACAGCGCCTCTCTCGAGCCTGACCTCCGGGAGCTCGTCCTTCCTCACCTGAGCGTCCTGGTAGAGCTTGACAGACCCTCCCCGCCGGAGCGGGAAGTAGGTATCCCTCACCCCAAGCTTGTTCGGATCCCCGGTGATGCCGTGCTGGTATTCTGGCTTCTTGGCAACGGGGGTGAATTCGATGGAGAGATGAAGGGCGGTATCAGGCTTCGGAGGCTCTCCATTGGGGCCGAGAATGGGGAACCAATCTCGGATTTTCTCGCCGGACGCGATGTGGACAGCGGAGATAGAGACGGTGCCGATGTGCTCAGCGCCGAAGACGTCGTCGTCCTTGACGTGGAGCACGAGAGCGGGTGCGCGGTGGGCGAGGGGGATTTTGAACTGCTCATTCCAGACGGGGTCCTCGGAGTTGGAGATGACGCGGGTGCGGGCGACGGTGGCGTCGGCGAGGGAGGCGGTGACGTAGGGGTCGCTGGTGATGATCTTGCGGCGGTGGTGGTGCTGGTCGCGGGGGGCGACAGAGTCGGATTTGGTGCACAGCGTGGCGCAAGGGGCAAAGCAGCGGCGGATGCGCTCGGAGAACATGTCCATGTTGGGGAGGCGGCGGGCCTGGATGACGGTAAGGACGAGGTCCCCGTGGAGAAGGACGTCCTCCTCGGTCCCACCGACCGTACCGGCGGAGGAGTTCGTCATCGCTCCGATGGAGGTCGGCGAGAGGAGACAAAGATGAGATCCCTTAGTCCCGATGGAGAACAGGATTTGGGGGGAGCCTTCCAAGGAGGAAGACAACAGAAAGCGAGCTTAAAACTACGAACCAGTTCACAGGGTCTTTGAAGTCTCCTAATTACTCCTTCCCATTCTATATATTTCCATAAATACCCTCGTCACGATAGAGGCATTGCTTCGACAGCAGTACTTTTCACCTCCTCCAAACCGGACGCAATAAAAGCCTACCCGGCTTCTTGTTGCCCGCAGCGGTGGAACCCACGTGGGAGCCGCAGTGAGGCCGTCGCCTTTACCAGCCACCCCATCCACGACGCAGGCGGAGGCGGAGGCGCGGCGAGGTGGCGCACTCGACCTGCGTCCAACTCTCCACGAATTCAACGCGGGGGGAAGAACCGGTGTAACGGTCGTCGTGCGTGCGGGTCGTGCCTCGTGATGCGCACTATCGCCATCGGATACGGTGGCCCGACCATCGGGTGGACAACAACCCTTCCACGTGGGCTCGCCGACCCATCGAACGGCGGGGGGGGGTCGTGGTGGCGGGGGGATCTCAGTTCCTCACCGAGACGCCACGCCTCCACAGCCTGGCGCTGCGCTTAATAACAAATAAGTCGATCTTCCGGAAATAGCCTCTTTATCTTTTCTGTCCAAATATTCTATTTAAAAATATTACATCCTTATTGACCTCTAAAATATTATAATATTATAATTAGAAAATTAGAATTGGTTCATCCTATGAATCCATTAATAATATAGCATAAGAAAAACAAAAAAAAAATCCCGAGAATCCTAATAAATAGGTTAAAAATATTTAAGTTCAATTTATTTTTGTCCCCGGTGATTGGAGGCAGCGGTGGGGACCACAATGGGACCCGCGAGCGGCCCACCTTACTCGCAACCACCAGCGAAGCAGGACGCCAGATCCCGAGCCTCCGGTTTGGCTCCGCAGAGTGGTTGGTGAGGAGAGGTGAGCCCCACCGCGGGGCCCATGGCTACAGCCAATGGGGCAAAGTTGTCGATATGAAGCTTGCGTTTTCTACGTGGATGTATGTAATTGATATATATATATATATATATATATATATATATATATGAAGGAGGGGATAAAGGAGGAGTGGGTGGTGGTGCAAAGTGGGGGTGTGAGATAGCTTGGAAGAAGAGCCATTGAAGTGGGAAGGATGCTTGACTTTTGGGGCACTGCACGGAGGAATCGTCCAATGTACGTACGTACGTTAAGTTGCAAGTGGAATGGGATCGCTTGGCTTGGTTAAGCAGGCTTCCGTTTGCTTGCGCCGTGTGATTGATGGGTCCCTTCCGAGGTCGCGTGCGCTAAAATTCGCATCTGATTGATTATTTTGAACATCATTCATGCGACGGTTACGTGACATATGTCTTCCATCTGATATAAAATAATATCGTTGCATAACAACCATTAGCATTGGGTAAAACAGTACTGTCGACGCTAATCGCTCCCACCTTCTCATCATCGCCTCCACCCCGCCCCACTCCTTCTCGTTGGTGACCTGCCATCGGTGGCGATTCTATTGGGGGCGGCGGTCACATAGGCGTCACGGTGAAAGGGTCGCCCCGAATGGCGAGACATGGTATTGGTTTTAGTCGTGGCTGAGTCTATGGCGTCGCGACGAGAGATTTTCCCATGAAAAATATGGGTTTTGACGAAGGAGGTGTCACGGGGCCCCGCCCCTTCTCGCTGGCGACAGTGGCGAGGAGGAGGGGACGGCTGGCGGTGGCTACCGAAGGGGGGAGCCGGAGGTTGTGAAGGAGACAACGGCGGTGTGGTGGCAATGGCCGGGAGGGGCGGGGTGGAGGCCGTGGCGAAGGCGGAGGGGAGACTGATGGAGGAAAGGGTGGCGGCAGCAATGCTGGAAGCCGTGCGGGAGTGGGAGGTCAAGGAGGAGGTGGCGGCGATGCTAGTGGTGGTCTGATGACGATCGAGGACGGACGGTGGCGGATAAATATTTTCGTCAAAGTAATAATAAAAAAAAAGCTCCCAAGCAAAAATTAATTAGGAGATATCATCAAATAAAAGCCTACATAAAAGCCTTTAGTAAACTTTTTTTTAAGATAAAATATTTTTTATCCTATAGTCAGCTGCCATTACTATTTTGATTCTTATATTTTTAAAAATTATATCGACTTTCTTATAATTTAAAATATCTATGTTCATTTATCCTAATATTATCGATTTTATCAATAAAAATATAAAAGTTAAATATATAAAAAAATTTAATGTTCAAGTCAATGGTAACAGACAACGACGTCGTTGAGGAGGATGATTTGCTGTTGTGGATGAAGAGAGCAACAACTAAAGACAAGGAGTATATGTAAAGCGGCTCTCATCTCTCGTCGTCGTTCTCCTCATTCACAACAATCACTCATCGCTCCCGATGACATTATTGTTCGTCGCTACTAATATTATCCATCGTCATTGATTGAAATGTTAAAAAAATTATTTTTTATTTTTATATTTTCATTAGTAAAATCGATGCGTTAGATAAATGACATATATGTTTGACTTTCATAATTATATTAACGATAAATTTAAAAAATATAAAAATCTAATTTTTAAATATAATTAATTAGACGGATTAATATATAATTAACCCACTCAAACAAATTTTATTATGTGTTTTTGATATAGGGGTAGAGACATGTCTAACATATCATCATCATGTGAATGGTACTGTAAGACTGATCGATCGATAATTCATATTCATATATCAAACACCTGATCGTCACATAATCAATATCTTAGTATCACATGATTAATATCATATAATCAACATCTCAACAGAAGATTGAATGGACTAAATATTATCATACCTCATATTTGACTCACTATGATCATAATTAAATCCAAAAGTGGTGCACCACCTTTCCTATAACTTGTGATTGCTACGAAAATAATGGTACTTGGAGCACTATAAAATGGCTCATAAGATATGTTTCGATAAATAGCTCTCTCTTGAAAATACGAGTTGAATCATTTGAACCTCTATTAACTTAGGCACCATGAGGTCTTATCAATAATTTCTGACATAATTTTATAGGATTTGGTACAATCGGAGATGGATAAGAATGGTATCAATTAAATTCACTCGATATAAGGGTGGAAAAAGAATCCCGATTAACTCCAAATCAATTTCTCACTCAGATAATCAAAAATTGACTTAATGATTTTAAATATAAATTTATGATAATATTAATAATATTACTTTCATAATCTAACATCATATATTTCTAGGTTAAGGTTTATTTTAACCCTTATGATTTTATTCATTAGTCACTTAAGTCTTTATAGTTTACTTGTATTTAAAATAATCTCTATATTTAAAAAAAAAACGTAGCATATAAATCCCTCCCATCAAGTCTGAGTTAATATACGTTATAGTCTGCTTACATGACATACTAACTCATAATAAATCATTAATATAATTACATATGTAATTTAAATTTAAAAAATAGTTAAAATTTATTTTAACCCATATAGTTTTGGCCATTGACCACTTAAGCCTTTATGATTCTTATATTTTTAAAAATATAACATATAAGCTCCTCTTGTCAAGTATAAGTTAACAGACATTAGAGTTCGTTTACGTGATATGCTGATTCATAATAAATTATTAATATAATGATATATATAATTTAAGTTTAACAAAATGTTAAGGTCCATCTTGTTGAGAAAGAGGAAGTGATAGAGGTCGTAACGACGAATGAAGACAGAGAGGTAGAGGTAGGAGAGACGGGAGGCAGAGGTGAGAGAGAGATGAACCACTTAGGCATGACAGGTGGGGGTGCATGAGAGGATGAAATGGGAAGCGATGGGAACGAAGACGCCAAGGAGAAGGAAGAGGGACCAGGGAACCACTTCCTGCTTAGCATTAAACTGGTTAATGCACATATACCTGAGGCAGAACTAAAAGCTCTTGAGCTCGTCATCAGAGCGGGAGAGGTTGCATGCGTATGATGCCCTACTAAGCAATAACGGATCGGTGCTACTACTGGTCGTTACTTCTACGACGATGTGTTCTCCTATTATTAATGATGGTCTTAGTTTTTTTTTAATATTTAAATAAGTAGAACGTTAGTTAACTTAGACTTGACGAGAGGGGCTTATATGTTATATTTTTTAAGATATAAAAGTTATTTTATATACAAATAAATCATAAGGGTTTGAGTGGTTCATTATCAAAACCACAAAGGTTAAAATTAACATTAATTATTTTTTTAAATTTAAATTATATATTATTATATTAATATTTTTTTATAAGTCAGCATGTTACATAAACAGACTTTAACGTATCTTAAGTTAGATTTGAAAAAGAAGACTTATATATTATATTTTTATAAAAAAATATAAAAATTATTTTAGATATAAATAAACTATAACGGTTTAAATAGTTTACGATTATAGCACATCATCTGGTGGCGGTATCGTTGTTGGTCCGTGTTGTAGGCCTTCGGCCCAACAACGTGCGCTCTACGGAACAACAGAGACGGATGCGGATCCACAGCTTTCGATCGCCGACAACGGCGTCGCCTTCGATCTGCGTCGGTTCTCCCCTCTTCTCTTCACTGCGCTCTTCTCCACTCGAGTGGCACGCAGAACAGCTGAAGACGTGATTTGTGGAGTAAATCTGAGCCACTAGGCTTCGTACCGCTCGTTCTCTGCCTTCTCGGTTGAAGAAATCTGTTATTGATCCGTGTGTTCTTGCTTCTCGTTTCATTTTTCTGTTCGATCTGTGCAAGAATTCTGTTCGTGATCCTCTCCTTCTCTAGGTTTCTGCCTTATTTTGTTGGATATGTCCAAGTGCCTTCTTGATGAAAAGAATCTGTTCTTGATCCGGTGGTTTTGCTTCTCGTTTCTTTGTTCGTTCGATCCTTCGGGTCCCTTGATCCTTTCCCTCTCTAGTTTTCTGCCTTCATTTTCGTTGTTCTATCGAGTGATTCCGATGGCTTATTGATGCGAGAGTTGTGTTCTTGATCTGCAAGTTCAAGAATCTAATACAACCTTCCCTCTATAGTTACAAGATGGAAGTCGGGAGTTAGGAAGAATGGAGACTGAAGCCCAGCGCTTGCTCTCCTTGCGAGCCTCTTATCGAACGGAGAGGGGTAATCGGAATGCTGGCACCAAAGGTTAGATGGATTGAATTTTCGTTCTGATTTTGCAGTCTGTTCTTAGAAGAGTTGGACTTTTGTAGATGCAGCCGATGAAACCGATGTCTCTGCCAACGGAAAGGGCATTAAAGATCCTCTGAAGATGGTCTGGCGGAGGGGTTTCATACGGTTGGTCCTCGTGTCAGCCATTGTGTGGATGCTGCTCATCCTTTTTGCCTTGCTATTTCATTTGTGGTCGTGTCATTCTTCTATTAGCTTCTTGTCAGGTAAATTCCTTTTTTTCTGTTTTTCTATATAGGATTGGTTAATTAGATATTGGAACTTCTTGGTCGATTTAATGTGCTGTGAGGAAAGTGAATGAATTGTATTGATCTGTCTGATAAAATTTAGTAAATCTAGTGATTCTTGCTCTTTAAATTTTAGCTCTTATGCCCCTTGCACGCTTTCTTTTGTATTCTTGTGTTGTTATTAGAACAATCTCCCACCAATTTTTTCTTGAATGATGTAATGATGAACAAACTTCGTAGAAGACATTTTAGAATATTGCATCCTCTTGATCAGCACAGTCACGTTTTGGCTATTTCATTCAAATGGTGACAGCCTATTAATCAGTGAGCAGCTTTGGACTTTCTATGGAAGTAGCTTTGATCTATTACTATTGCTGCCGTGGTTTTGGTGGCATATTTGGAGCCTGGAATATTGACCATTCTGCTGCCACTAGAATATTAAATATCAAAGCATTAAAAATTAATCAAGTGTTATCATCAGACAACCGATGGAAGGTTTGTTAAAACCAAAAATCAACAATGCTTTTCTTGTAAAAATATTAGTTGACAATGCTTTTCCTGTAAAAAAAATAGTATATATTTCTTGTCTATTAATGATTATTTAGTATAGTCGCTGAAAAATGATGGTCCTTTACAAATTCAGGATGATAACTCTTTGAACAGCAAAAATACCACATATAATGTATGAGCCATCCCATCAAAGGAAAGCAAAGCTTAGGAAGTGTTGGGCAGGAGAGTCTAGTTGTTGGTGAATATATCATGGTCCAGAGGCATGTATGCTGACAGGTGTTACCTTAGATTTCCAGGTCTTGTTAACTTCTTTTGATTAATGTGTTGCTACATCTATGTGGATTTGACTTGGAAAGCATTTGTATGGAAATATGAAATAGTGTGGCCTCGTTAGATGCTATTGATGCATGAACTATTGTCCATTGCTAATTAGTCATATTCGGGCTCTGATGGTAATAAAAAGCATCATGGCAAAAAAAAATAATCGAGTTACACCTGTATGTAACATGACCTGAAGAAATAAAATTTTCTGCATAGAATATTAATAACATTTTCTATGGATGCACTAGTGAAAAGGCCTGTATTTCATGCTTTTGAGAAACCGTAGCCAAGACATACATAAGTGAATTACATTGTGGTTGACACTGAAAAAAATAATCATTTCAAGCTGGAGTTTTGAAGTCAAAACTCCAGCTTGTAACTATTATTTATGATTATTGGCGACTATTTAGATCTCTTTCAAATTTTGCCTCTTTTTATCTTCTCTTTTATAGCCAGTTGGCTTGCAGAATCATCTGATCCAGGTTGGGATTCAACAAGTACAATTGTCAAACCCTTGGTTTTCAGGGAATAAAAAAGGACCAGTTAATTTTGTCTGGTCTCATGCTTGTTTGACCAATCTCAGCTAAGTTTCAGTTATTCTCATCAGTCTGGCGAATTATCCATCACTTAAGCCCAATTGCTGCTATCCTACTAAATATGACCTATATCAATCAATTTTTAGCCAATCATACTGTTCCTAACTAAATTCAAATCTGTTCCTGATTTCCAATCATTTTCAAAAAAAATCCGGAACCATGATTGACTTGGATGATCCAGCATATCCAAACCAATCCGGATCTAAATTTCATCATTCACCCCAAATCTTATCCTGATCCGGCAAACATTGTATTACATTCAGAATAATTGGTATCATTCAGAATTTGTGTACATAATTGGTATCATGTCAAAAGCCAACAGAAGGCATCCTATGTGAGGGATACTGCTTTCCATTAAATAAAGTAGTTCTTTCAGTGAACTTGATTAGCTGTGATCAGTCTTTAAACAGCTGTTTTAGACTTTGCCATATCATGGAAGAACCTAATAGTAAACTACTAGCATATTATTTGTCAAGCACGAGTACAGATTGTTTCTTCATTTTATGCTGTTTTATAAAAATAGTCAATACCATCATTTTCAAAAAAATACTGATGGTTGTGGATATGTACATGCACACACAAACATACGTATATATATCTGTATAATGCATCATTGTGTCTGTAGATAGGTGCTCTCCACATATATACTTGCCTGTCATTTTATTAACAGAATATCAACACTTGATTGATATTAGTTTATTGATGTTTATTCTCTTAACTTGTTTTTCCTACCTGCTTTGTTATCCAACCTTTTTTTTATGATTTTCACTAATTCTCAGTCTTAAAATACCCTCCCTGAATGTAGTAACAAAAAAAAAAAAAAAAACAATTCTAGATTTTACATACTTTAAGGTTTCTATTGCTCTCTTTTCTGCAGCTCTTTGTAAAAAAGACAGCAAAGTTCTTGGTATCTTAGACACAATGGGTCTCACTACCAAGCAACAACATCGTAAGACTACCTTAACATTTTCTATGCAAGACTTGGTATTGCCCACTTCTTAACTTTGCACTTTGCGCATGTAGGTTGCTCAATTCCTCTTATGGATGACCCAGATGCCATAGTCATTCCAAAGAGAACTCCCGATACCATCCCAAAATTTCTAAAATATGTATTGGAAGATGACCAAGGAAATGCCAATGAGAAGTCTCAACCACTTTTTGGGGGACATCAGAGCTGGAAACAAAGAGAAAATAGTTTCAAACTGAATACAACTATGAAGGTGATTGTATAGTTGCATGTAATAGGTGTGGAAATCATCTTTACTGCACCTATGTGTTTTGTCATTTTGAAATTCAATATTGCACAAAGGCATATTTGAACATGAGCAATCATTTGCTATTACTCACTAAGTGTGTTTTGAGCAGGCCTTACCTTCGTCCCGTTGAATATGTTGGCATCTTAAATTTTCATTCTTGTAAATCCATTATGATTATAATTCTAGAGAAAAAGAGGATGTGCTTGTTGGATTAAGATGAAATTTTCTGTAGCTATAATTCTTGTCCTTTTGCTATTAGTCCTTGTCCAATACTTTGCAGTGGCCTTGGCTTTGCTTTTGCATCGTAGCAAGTATCAACTTCAATAGCAACTGACTGACTTGGTTGAGTCAGTTAATTAAATTTTCTACATCCATTATAGCGAGTATCTTAGAGAGGGAGAGAAGGAGAGAGATTATGTTGTGTAGTCAGAAATGGTGCAACTATTTTTCTACCACATTAGAAAATTTTCACAATTTGAGATATGCATATCTTGTAATGGGCCATAGAATAATGTATTAGCTAAACAACATAGGTTTCATCTTGCAAGCCGCAAACCTTCGCATGTGCATATCATTATGTGCAAGCATCTAAAATGTATATCTTGAACTTTTTTATATATGCAAGCAGTGAAAGAATTCATAGCTTCATGATTGTCATTCTTATTTATCCAGATGAATTTGATGATATCTTATCTTGGAGATTTTTATTTATTGTTTTTCTATTTGTTCTTTAGGTGCACTGTGGCTGTATGAAAAATGGAGGTGCAGAAATGGAAGCTGTAGATGTGAAATATGCAAAGAAATGTAGGTTTGTAGTTGCCTCTGGCATTTTTGATGGGTATGACACTCCCCATCAACCTTACAACATAAGTCTTCGTTCCAGAAAGCTATTCTGCTTTCTGATGGTAGTTGATGAGGTCTCTCTTGATTTCATTAAGCAAAATGTAACTGTTAGAGAAGCCAGTGATGGAGGAAAATGGGTAGGTATTTGGCGCCTTGTGACACTACATCATCCACCATATGATGAACCTAGAAGAAATGGGAAGGTTCCGAAGATACTAACACACAGGCTGTTTCCTCAAGCTCAGTATAGCATTTGGATTGATGGGAAAATGGAGCTTATAGTTGACCCATTGCTTATTCTAGAAAGGTGGGTTGTTTCTTCAACTGAATAACTGACTAGTAAAATTTTCTTTTTTTGTCTTTAGATTTCATGACTTCTGTATTCTGTGAACTCTGCAGATATCTCTGGCGGGGAAAGCACACATTTGCAATTGCTTGTCATAAACATCACAGGAGTATCTATGAGGAGGCAGATGCAATCAAGCGAAGGAAGCGGTATGCTCGGCCGCTGATCGATTTGCACATGAAGATTTACCACTATGAGGGAATGGAGCTATGGAGTCCAAAGAAAAGGACAATCAGTGGTAAGAACATGATATTTTTTCGGTGCTAGATATAATGACGATTACAATATTTTCATACACATTGATGAGAACATTCTTTCATGTTATTGCTCGTGATGACGGGTCTGACTTCTAAGTTCTGATAATCTTTGTCTCAGTAATTTCATTTTAAAGATGATGAAGATAACACTGTTAGTATGGCTTCATAATTACATAAAAACAAATTTTGTTAAATATTATGATTATCTAGAGATGGATATACTGCAAGTACAGTATATCTTTGGGCTATTCAGAAAGTGTTCAGTGGTTATCCTGTGACGATTTTCAATTTATTATCTTGATGATATCAGGATATTACTCTTTGTTTAGACTAAGAAGGCAATCTTTACATGTTTTACGATAGTAAAAAGCTTCAGTCGATGATGATTTAAGTCGTTAGGCAATGCTATAAACCAAGAACCTTCAGTTGGTGGAACTCCCATATCAATGCCTTGATTTTTTTTTATTGTTATCTTTAACTGTTAAACTTGTTTGCGAAAAGCAAAGTTTTAACAGAGCAAGTGATTGAACATATATATTATACATCTTTTTATTTTTCTCACTGATAGAGTCAATAGAAGTTGGAATTTAAATTGGCATGTGGAGCAATATCAATTCCCATCTCACATCATATTCCATTTGTGTCATAAAGATCTTATGTTAATCCGTCATGGCTGTCTCGATAATAAATTTAAAGCTGCTAAAATAATATCTGGCGGCTTCTTCAACTTCAATGTATATTACTGATGAAAATTCCTGATGAATGCAGATGTACCAGAGGGTGCAGTCATAATACGCGAGCACACAACAATGACCAACTTGTTCAGCTGCCTTTGGTTTAATGAGGTCAATCTTTTCACACCGAGGGATCAACTTAGTTTTGGCTATGTGGTGTACAGATTAGAAGAGTTCAAGTTTTTCATGTTCCCCAACTGCGAATATAATTCATTATTCATATTGCACAGACACACCCGGGAACATTCTTCTGTTGTTGAGTGGGTTAAATCCCTAGATGAATTTAAGGGGAACAAAACTGGACTGAAAGAGAGTAGGGGAGGGCTAGGACTGTGGACACCATATCCAGGGGACCTCAACTCAGTCCAACTCCCTTCTGTCAAAAGAACATCACCTGCAGGGTGAACATGCAAAATTTACTCTCCTTTGGCTCTATCAGTAATTTTCCATCTCGGAGAACATTTTGCTGTCTTGTGTATCGTCCAACTTTTCGGAATGTTTCCGAGGACTTAAATTTTGCACTCACAGAGTTTCTGAGGTTGAAACAAATTTGAGGTGCACTAGAGGACTTAAATTTTGCAGATGTCTAGGTCATTGTTAATATTTTCATGGAATCTCCTTAAAGGTAGACTCGAGGATAAAATGAGATGGGGAATTCCCTAATTGTTATCTTGTTGATGCATCAAGTTGCAGGTTATCAACCACCTTATACAACTGTGAGAGCACAGCTTATTATATATATTGATTCGTTCCATGCTTTGGAAAGATAAACAAAGGAGTGATTACCTTCTTTTTTGTTTTTTGGTGATGACTCTTTATCTTATATATGATTAGCTCCATGCTGAAATGTGACCTTTTGTTACTGGACAATCAAACATGAAAGCCTGCAGCAGCCAGCAGTACTGTTGAGCCCTTTATAGGACTCTGCGCATCACCTGTTCCTGTGCATCCCTCGAAGAAGGTACTCTTTTTTTTCCGCTGTACTCTCCGTGTTTTCATCCTTTTTCATTTTGTAGAGCTTTTGAGTTCCGGGAAACCATGTCGCTATCGCCATACATATATAATACTTGGGTAGAATTCATACCTGAAATGATTTTGACTGCAGCTGGTAACCACCTCGAGCAATAGTGCCACAGAGACGACTGTTGTGTTGATCCTCTACCAACAAAATGCGACTTTAGGCTATGGAATGTTCTTCTTCTAGTCCTTCCTTTTTCACTCACTCAACAAAAAGATGCAAGAGGAAAAGAAGAGAAAGCATAAAATATGGTCCAACACAAGTACTGTCAGAAGAAAGCTTCTGTCCATCGACACTCTACTGTAAGTGTCAGCTCCTCACATGATATGCCATGTTATATTAGAAGGCAGATTGTGTTGACCAAACAAAACTCCGGACCTTCACTCGAATGCTAAAAGGGTTAGAAAACTCTATCCAGCATTCAAACAATACTTACAACAATGGCTGCCCACCAAAATAACCCTGCTCCTACTATCTAACTACTACTTACATAAGATCTTAAGTTAGCAACTGGGATCTTAGCAAGGCCCACAAAAACTGGGGCAGCCAGAGCACCTAAAACAACTACACAATGTTGCCCTTAAGCCTGCACAAGTAGCCCAGACAAGAAGTTTCACCATCTTACTATCTGCTATTGACCTCCAACTCGGAGGAAGAGCCCTCCGTAAATGATGGTTTCCCGGTCGTCTCAATTGCTGCCTTTGCTTTCTCATTCCGTGATAGTAGTTCGTCGTAGAGTTTCAATGAATCCTTGGCAAACTCCGTGAGTGACTCAAAGGCACTGGCCAAGCCTATCTTGAATCCGTTTAGGGTGACTTCCTGCGTCGCCCGCATGCAATTGCGATGTTTTTCTTTCTCCATCTCCAGTTTCTTCCTGAGCATGTCGAGCATCTCTTTCTTACCGGCTAAATGTTCAGGTTCATTTTCTGACAGCTTTAGATCCAATACCTTATCCTCTGCTTTCTGGAATGCGAGAACCCTGCGTTCGAGCTCCTTAGTGAGGGCATCCACTTTCTTCTTCTGTTGTTGTTCCTCTACTTGCTTAACCGATAAGAACCTCACGGTTCTGGCGAAACTTCTCATGCTATAAGTTACGGCACTGTCACGCAACTTCCCCAGTGAGGTCGACCACTGGTGACAGATGACAACTAGAGGTGGGCCACTAGCCATATGAGAGAGTGAGGATCTAGTCCGAGAGTAGAATTCCATGTCAGGTAAGATGAACTTCGACAGCCAACCATCAAGAGCTTCAACATATGCTTTCTGCGCTGAAACGTAACCTCTAAAGTATCTCCTCCAGTGATGAAGCTCAGCGACCAGGGTAAGCGTGGCAAGTCGCTGTGAATCGTTGCTATATTTTCCATAAGAAGGGCACGTGAATAAGTTTACTTCAAACATGATTTGCTTCTGGGCTTCATGCGATTCGAGCATTACCTTCCAAGACCCCATTAGACTGCACAAAATGAGAAGAATCAGAAAGAAAACAAAATAAACTTTGCAACATTCCCATATTAGTAGCTGGCTACTGTACCCTTGTAGAAGCTCAATGATCTGCGGCTGCAATTCTTCATCCCTCAATTTCTGTATCCTTTCAGCGATCGATTCGACTGCACGCAATGCTACCCAGATTCTTGAATAAAGGTCTCTTACAGCAGCCCTCGTCTTGTCAACCGATCGTGATTCGACTCCCTTCGCATTCTGATTTCTTAGCTGCAAGCATTTCTTCTCGTATGCCTGCCGTATTTGATCTCCAGCCTAAAGATTAACGAGATGCTATGCATTACATTAGCTAGTGGAACCTTGCTAGAAGAAACAATAGAAAAACCTACATTGAGCAAATTTGACTTTATGGAATATCAAATTTCACAAATTACGCGACATCAAGATTTAAGAGATGCAGTGAACCTTCTAATAGTTCCTGGCATGCTAAACATTTGTAAACTCTCTTGTGGTGCATAATGATGACATGCTAAACATCTGAATGGAATAACCAGACATTTAGTTGATATTACCGGAAGAACATCAACTAAACGTACACTTGGAATACAAGCGAACAAAAGTTTGAAAGCTGTGAGGCTAATGAGGTGGAGAAAAAAAGAAAAACTCGGGAAATGGAACTATTACTATTGACAAATACTGTGCATGTGGACTATGAGAATATAGGTAACAGAATATAGTCTCTGGGTATGAATTGGTGGTATACATATAACGCAAGAGCACCAACACTGTTTGGATGAGGCAATGCAAACTTATCAATCGCAACTCTAGAACATAATGACTTATCGAAGCCAAACTGTTGTTAGGACCAAGAGTCTGTTATACGCAACTCTTGAGTGAACTAATACTGAAGCAATAATATGAAGACCGGTGCCTGTTTTTGGGGATCCCTAGTTTAGAGATGAGTCAGTCATTTGTACGATAAGGAGCTTATGCAAGAAGTTGTCATCTTGAACTTAATCGACCAACTTTTATGGGGGCCTACATGAAAATATTCATTTTATGGTTGGCTGGGCTGTTCTAGGAAGGACAGAATTGTTTCTACAAACCTAAGTTGACAATAAATCTCAGATAATTCAAGAGACCGAAAGAGTTCAATGTGTTTATGTTCTGTAAGAGAGCCATCAGTACATAAAACCATAACTTTTCCATTGTAATTACCGTTCTAAACTTCATTACATGTATTTCTGTTTGCAGCTACACGATTCACCAGTCACAGTAGCAATACCCAAAGCTAATTCATAAGATCAGCAAGCATAAAAAACATGAAGATCCATAAAATAGTGAACAAAGTTACCTTCACTTCTTCATATAGTTTCTTCTCCCAAGCATATAATCTTCCAAGAGTCTGTGAGTGGCTTCCTGATTCCATTCCACCATAATCATCGAAAAGGTCACTCTTACTTTCCGACCATGTCGTACTACTAGAGCTCGACGCAAGGTGACTCCAATAGGATGAAGATAACGACGAAGGAGACCGATGCCATGTGATGGCTTGTATCATTTTCGACGAATTCTCTGAATCAACAACGGTGGCAAACAAAGTAAGTCATACAGTGAGATGCACCCTGAACTCGAAACAAATGTAGCATAACTCAATCATATAAGAGGCTCAAAATTGTCAATTATAGCAAATTGCATGTAACGTGATAATGAACTTGCATATGCTAGAAAAATATATTACCATATGCAGTCAATCAAAGCATGATTTTTTTTATGAACAATGATGCAAATCATTACCAATGCCTGAGGAGAAAGAACCCTAAGGCGCTACTGGATGAGGCAAACTTGACTGAGAAGAAAATACTACAATGTATCTTGAAGTACTCATGAAAAGCAAGAACTTTTCGGCATCAGCATTTCGGAGGTAGAGGAAGACAGAAAGGAATCACCTTTAATCTCCTCAAGCCCAGATTGGAGGAGAACCATGTTGGCCTCCAGCATCCTTGAGACCTCTTTGCCGGAATCATGAGCCCTGATGAAGTGATCCTCCACATCCCTCAGCGCTTGAAGCAACTCTCGACCGCTCCCCTGCATCTCCGCCACCGACAAACCCTTCTCTTCCCCTCCTCCGCTGCTGCTGCCAGCCACTTCAACCTGCACTCTGCCGTCACAGTGTCCCTTGTCCTCTGCACCCAAAGCTACCACCTTTTCACTCTCCTCTGTCGTTTTCCTGTCTTCCACTTCCTCCAGCTCCGGGATGCCCTCCTCCTCCCTCACCAGCCTCAAGTCCTCATCTGAGCTCCGGTCCAGGGACCCCACCATCGCCACAGCCTCCACCGTCGTTTGCATTCCGTCGAACGGGTTAAAGAAGTCCCACCCGAACACCTCCGGGGACGGGGACGGCGGCAATGGCGCCGCGGCCGAGAAGAAGTACCCAAACCCCATCTCCCCTCCCCTTCCGTCCTCCTGCTCTTCGGCCACTCCCGTCGCTTCCACGCCCTCTACGTCATCATCAGAGCTGGAATCCGACGACGGGGAAAGCGGGAGAGAACCTGGGCACTCCAAAGATTCCGCATTTGCCTCGCGCGGCGTGTGGGGAAGGAAGGCGGAGGAGGAGGAGGGAGGGGACGGGTCGACGTCGGCGTCGGGAAGGGTGACGAGGATGGCGGTGGGGGCAGAGTGGCGGACGACGAAGAGGTCGATGGCGGAGGCGACAGCGTTGAGGGAGCGGACGTAAGCGGCGTGGGCTGCAGCGAGGGCGTACCGCCGCTCCACCGCCGCCTTGAGAAGCCGCTTCCGCTCCCGGCAAAGCGCCACCGGGTCGTCCTCCTCGCCGCTACCGCCGAGCCTCGAGGTGGCGCAGCCCCCCATCTCCCCTGCGCTTGATACGGAGGACGAAAGCGAGCGGGGCTTAGAGGAGGGTTTAGAGGACAGGAGCAGTGTATGGAGTTTTGGGAAGGAGTGAGTGAGTCAAAGTCAAAGGTGAAGAGTGTGAGAATGTGAACAAAGAGGTGTTTACATCTCAAAGCTCCAAAATTGATACTTTTGGGAAGACAAATCTTTTAAGTAGAATTAGTAATTAATGCACTATCAAATGATCTTTGTGGAAATGTTATCAAATACACACACAAAAAAATAGTGTTTATGGTTGAATGTGCATTTATAAGGTAAAATATATATATGATTATTGTGGGAGGAGAAAATAAATCCTATACTAAAAAAAAAAAAAGAAGAAATAGAATTAGCAGTTGATTTAATATCAAATAATTTTGGGGGGAAATGTTACCAAAATATATAATGAATTAGGGTTTATAAATTTGGGTGTGCATCTCTAATGTAAAAAAATTGGATTGTTAACTAAAAATGTTTATTTAGTATCAAATAATTTGAAGGGAAATCTTATTAAAAATATATCATGAATTTATTAATGTAGGAGGAGGAGAGAAATCATATGGTTTGTTTGAGTTAGGGTTTGTGATAGGGGTGTGTAGGATTCTTATATTAAAGAGTTTAGGGGCAGTAGGCAATTAAATTATTGTTATGAAGACATCTTAGTGGAGTGAGTTAGGGTTTTCCCTAATGCTAAGTATCACAAGGAAGATGCAAGCAACAAATGACATGTGTGTTGGTGTTTAGGCTGCTATTTCACAGAGGGATATGTGATAGTGATGGGTGGGCAAGTTCATCAACCACTGAAAACACATGTTAAAGGGTTATTTGCTGCTATATTTAACTTAGATAGATCTCTTAGAACATATATATTTGTTCTTTAAATCTATAGCTGTTTAGTTGTCACTTCATTTGTATTCAATGTGACTTATGACTTCCTTTTAGGATATTTGTGGAAATTTTGATGGATTAGAATAAATTGTAGGGTTCTTTTTTTCTTTGCCCAGAAGGTAGGATAGTTATCATTTTTTCCTTTTAAATTTTTTTAATACCTTAAATATCGTTTATCATAATCATCATCTTCTTTGGATGAATATTTATTGATTATTATTTTCTGTCCCTATCCAATTATCTCATTTTTTTTAGTTATGAGATTATGTCATTTCGACTATATCATTATTATAACAAAAGAATAAAAAGATAGAGCATTTAAGATATTAAATAAAAAAATATGAAATGAAAAAACTAAAGGTCAAATATTAGTTAAAAATAAATATATATTTTTTAAAAATCATCTAAAATTGTATCATCACGTATCTTTCGACTAATATTCATCTCCCATCTTTTAGTTTGTAAGGATTTGATAATTTAATCTTAAATCTTGTGATATTGACAAAGTATTATTTACATACATAGGTATGTATTTATCTTTTGTTAAGTTTAAAAAAATGGACAAAAGATAAGAGATTTCATTACCAAATTATGAGGGAAAATATATTTATTATTTTTATATTAAGTTCTTAACACTCAATTTTTACTATAAAAGCATCTAAATTTATATGGACAAGCATTACTCTCTTTTCAAATTTCTAAAATATTTCCAAAAAATAACTCTCTCATCTTTTAATATTAATTTATTTATTTTCTTGTTTAGTATTTGGACGAGTGATTCTAATATCAATTTAAGAAAATAAAATTTCCATTAATCGTATAGAAAACAATACTATTAAAAACTATTTTAACCACTAAAAGCTTTCATCCTTTTTCATCTTTGGTATAACATAATATTATCGTTATAATAACAATAATAATAGCAAATGAACGAAAAAAAAAATTCAAACAACACTAATTTAGTAACAAATATGTTTCTCTTGAATACGATAAATCACAACAATACGGTTTTACTTTCAATAAGTCGAATCGAATTTGACATATTATATCGACAACATCATCATCGTCTTCTTTCTTCTTTCCTACTACACTAAGTTACTAGAAGAAAATATAATGATGTAATTTATCACTCATTTAAATTATTTTAGTTGAAATCAATTTTAATTTCAATTTAGATGTTAAGATTATTGGAAATAATCAAGTCGATTATTCGTGTGTATGAGTCAGATTATATATATTAAGTTTGATCTTTTAATCTTGATGGGATTGACTCGGATTCATCAACAAATGATGTGCTCTCTAGAGATCTCGAAAACCTTCTGATCCCCTCCGAGCAATCCAAGAACAGAATCTCTCGGGACAGAGCAGAAGCTTGAAGATTCACAGGAAGCTCTCAAATGAACAGTTCCAACTCTATCCCCCGCCCATTTTTCCAAGGAAAAGCGGTGCCTGTTCTTGACAGCAAGTGGTCTCGGGTTTGGGCCGTGCAGTGCAGTCATGGCGGCATCAGCAGCAACGGGGAGGTATTGTTAGAAACAGCGCAGGGAAACGTTGTTGCTGCTGATGAAGTGCGTGCACAGTGATGAAGCAGCAGCAGCAGCAGCAGCACCACCTCTGATGCGGTGGAGGAAGCTGTCGGTTGGCCCTTCTGCTACCGCTTGTCCTCTTCTGCTGCTGCGGTGTGCACTTCCAGCGTGCATGCGAAGCTGTGCGGCAGTCGCAGAGGGAGGCATCGATTGGGTTTTCCGAGAAGAGGCAGCGATAGTGGATTCCAATTCTGTATGGCTCCAATGCATAGGAGATTGTGAACGTGTTTCTAATTCATACTGCAAAGCACAATAGTTAATGCTGTTTTAGACGAATTATTGATGGATTTATTAGGTTTTATGCCCGGAAAAATGGTTCAGAAATCGCAAGACATATATGAAATTTTATATTCATAATATGTATACTCAAAATCAAAATATTAGTTTTGATTTTGGAAATAGGTCGGATCGGATCGAATCGGAGTAAGTCATATTCGTCCGAATAAATTATGAGATGGGGAAAGAATGATAGAAAAAGATACATAATATTTTATCTATTTAAACGTACTATAATAGTATCTTAGATTCATTTATTAAAGATCGATGACTTAAAATTTATCCAATTTATCTTTAAAAAAATACCACCTAACTTGACTTGAAAATATTGAACTCGAAAGATTACGGATCAAATCTTGTCTTAATCGCTTACCTTTTAAAAAATAATCAATTAGCGAAGCTTCTCGTATTAGCTCTTTTTACAATCAATTTAGCTTATTTTGCGATAAATTGTTTTGAAAATAATTCAAGTTTTTCATTAATTTTTCAATGTTCACCTAAATTCATATAGTAGACATTAGCGATGGATCGCTTAAGTTCTTAAAAAAGATATACTATTTTTTTTATATTAAAATAAAACCTATAAACTCGAGTCTTTCGAGTCTACGATGATAATGATGATGATGATGATTTAACATGTCATCAAAATGAAAAATGCATTTGGAAGATTTGGTCAACTTAAATATGATGAGCAACAGAGATTGATGGATCATTAGAGGCAAACACCAAAGTAGCATTAGTTAAAGCAAACAAGAGGAGGAAGAGGAGGAGGAAGATGGAGATGGGGACATCACAACTACCACTAGCGAGCTCTAATCTTTTTCTTGTCACGCGTCTTCCCGTCCACGAAGCCGCCATGCATCTTCTTGTCATCTCTCACCTCTTCTCTTCCTTCCTTCCTTCCTTCCTTCCTTCCTTGGACTCCAGACTTTGAACCGGCCGAAGCATTGGATTCACATACACCCCGCGTAATAACGTGTGACTTCTTCTTCCTCCTCCATTGAGGTGGCCGTGCTGGTCAAGTTGGAAATAATGCTGTGGGTTTCCGTCCCTCTCACAAGCAATAACCATGACTTCTCTCACCAGTTCATACGCATCCTCGTTGACTTCCATGCTGATGACATCGACTTCATTATGTTCTCTCTCATCAATTGACTAGTTTTATCGTGATCCATGTGAGGCAACTCCGTGAGACGTGGGCTTTGGGTTGTCCAGTGGATGCCATGCTCCAGAGAGAGAGAGAGAGAGAGAGAGAGAGAGAGAGAGAGAGAAGAAGTCAAATACATAGTAGTCAATTGGTGATCATGATGATAAGATCAAACACAAGTTGATATAGTCACATATATTAACTTAAAGCTAATAATTTTTTGCTTATTTAAGTCACTTATTTTACTGGTCATTCAGATGAGAGTTTTGGAAGATATATCTAAAACTATTTATTGGTTGATCGATTTAATGGTGAACTTGAACTCCTAACTATAAAATTTAAAAAGTTCATGAAACAAAAATTAAAGAACAAAAAGAACGCAACTATTTACTTTGAATGCAAGAAGAAGAAGGTAACTTTGGACGAATCGAGCTCCTCCGAAGACGATGAGAAAATCAACATACCATCAAATCAATATTTAAGATATAATCATGTTTTTAAGTATTATAATACTTTGGAGGAATACAAATTTGTTATTTGAAATTTAACTCTTTTTTTTTTGTTTCCTTGAATTCAAGCCAAACCCTAATATATATTTATATATGTCTAATCATGTCAATGATACATTGTTTTATTCACATTAAGAACATTTTTGCACCCATGTGGGCTCATATGGCATGGATCACTATAAAATTCATTTGTAATATATAATAGTTTTCATTAAAAAAAAAGTGTAGTTCTTCTTCCATATTTGATTAATATAATGCACATATCACATATTTTACCTTATAATAATAATAATACCACTACACATTGGTCCAATAAGGAGTATCATTGCATGCTACCATTCTAAATTATTTAGGTTGCTCCAATCAAAGAGTTGGAAGAACCAATAATAAGCTGATACAATGATTTAAGCCACATTGTTCTCATCTTTTTGATGCATTAAATGATAAATGTCTGTATCATTTATTGGTGGATTGATGCTTCTGTTAACTTAGGTTTCATATGAAGAGTCGTATGAAATAAGGCCCTTCTATTCAAATGTTGACTGGCCTTCATTGGTGTCACGAAGTCAAAGTAAGCTGCCAGGAAATCCAGGTTTGACCGACTCAGAAGACTTTTGGCGTCGCAGTCAACCCTCTCGACCAACGAAC